TTGCCCACATCAAAAAACAATAACAAAGGAGTTGCATTGCCTCCGATAATAACCTCATCGTCAAGTTATTTATCTAGGCGTGATTCAAATGCAAGGGATTGCGGCAAAATTAAATCAGAATGCCACTTCTGATTGGCTACATGATGCCTTGGGGGAAAAATGGACTTATTGAAGAACAATCAAGTCTGTAGAATTGGCTCTCCAAGTTTGCAGGGGTTTAGACCAGGCCTGTGCCAACTTGGGCCCTCCAGGTGTTTTGGACTTCAACTCCCACAATTCCTAACAGCCTACCGGTTGTTAGGAATTGTGGGAGGTGAAGTCCAAAACACCTGGAGGGCCCAAGTTTGCCCAGGCTTAGTCTAAACAAAGAAAATCCCACAGAAATCTGAATTCAAATGAAAATCCATATATTACAATTACATCCTTTGGTGAGATAGGCTCCTATCACTGTCTTAAACAGCAAAACAAATCATTTTATAAGCAATACAAGGAAAACCGATGCCTTGTAACTACCCTAAAAGTAGCAGGAAATTGCCTACGAAACATCCATACCATAAAATTATCACATACAGCTTAATAGATATCCCCTTTAAATATATTGCTCAGTTGCAACAAAGATTGAGCTCACAGCTATAGACTTCAAAGACTTTTCAAAGGCACATGACTTGTAACAACCAACCATAAACTACAGTTTTGAAGAATTGTCACAGATTCGGTGTGTTGAATACACTCATCCCTACACTCCTGGTAGGGAAAAAAATAACAATGATTTTATAAACAGGAAAAATTACAGTTTTCAACACAGCAATATATATCCAATCAACTCATACTTTAAAATAGTACAAATTACACAAAAAACATATTTGATCTTACGCCACATATTGCAAAATGCACAAAATTTGACTTATTTAGACGAAACCAAGACTAAAAAATTTTTTTTTTACTTATTCCTTTAAGAACACAGCACTGTGAAGATGGTGTGGTTCTATTATTCCTTTGCTTTGCAACTAAAGAACGGGAGCAAATGAGGTATTTGCAAATTCCTGCTAAAAACCTTGTAAAATTTTTATCCTAAGTGTTGTCGAAGGCTTTCATGGCCGCAATCACTGGATTGCTGTGGGTTTTCCGGGCTGTCTGGCCATGTTCCAGAAGCATTATCTCCTGATGTTTCGCCCACATCTATGGCAGGCATCCTCAGAGGTTGAGAGGTCTGTTGGTAACTAGACAAGTGGGGTTTATATATCTGCGGAAAAATGAACAAAATCTGGCTAGCAGTATTAAAAAAAACTCTTAAAATCAGGACATTAAATAAAGAACAACACTCAAAAACAGGAATTACAGACAAGAAACAATCAGGGACAACTAATCACCTCTCAACAAAGATTCCTCCCGCAATAAGAAGCCAGACCTTGAATCAAGGTGGCCATTTGCAACATTCACACCTACCTCAAACAGACAAGAGCTCTTTACTAGGCATGTGCAATCCAGGTTCTAAAGTATTTACAAAACGAAAGTTCTGGTGGTGAAAACTAGGGGGTGCTGGTGCTTTGCTTCTACAGTGTTGCTAAAGTTCTGGTGGTGAAACTTTCAGAACTCTAACACAACTTTCAAAATTTCATTATAAATGGCAGTTCCTAATAGGTTCTGTCATAAAAATCACCAATAATGAAATAATAATGAAATGTTGAAAGTTATGTAAGAGTTGTAAGTTGCAGGATTTGAACTGTTGTATCAAGCCTGATTTTGCCTTTTTACCCTGTAAATGTATAGATGGATTGATTGGTTATGTATAGCTGTCAATCAATGTTGTTTGCACCAGCTGAATTGCTCATCCTGCTCAATTGTTTAACCCCACCTCTTCCTAGAGAGCAGGACAGTGTTTCCTTTTCCATTCCACCATCAAACTTTCTATCAGATGGATGTGAGAGAGAGACTTGGCTCTGAAGCCCTTGATTAAGTTACCTCTCAGCACCAATTCTGAGGTTCTTACCCTTGAGACTTATGCTTCATGTTCAGATCAACCTGGATGACGTTGAGAAGTCTCAAGCGCCTTCAAACCAGTTCTTTGGCACCAGAGGGAGGCTTTGTGCCTTCAAAATATAGGCCATTGGGATTGTGATGATTCCGATATTCACAGCCATTGAGAAAAAGGGATCTGGAAAAGCTTCTCAGCTGCAAAACTCCTTGGACCCAAGACAACCAGAGACTGTAATGTATATTTTCCTTTACCCCTTTGAAACTTCCAGCTTATTGCCTTAAAGGGATAACTCTTTGTGAACAATTAAACCTATTTTGAGTTATCTACAGTGTTTTGGTCTTTGGGAGTTCCAGTTTTCCTAAAGGAGGGCAAGAAGCAATCTCCTGGGGGAAAGATGTCACGTCCATGCCTCTTTCACTAAGAGTTATAGTCCCAGACGCGATGGCACATAAATAAAAATGAAACTTCGAAAGTTTTGTTAGAGTTCTGAAATTTTCACCACTAGAACTTTTGCAACACTGTAGAAGCAAAGTACCAGCGCCCCCTAGTTTTCACCACCAGAACTTTAGTTTTGTAAGTACTTTAGAACCATTTAGAACCATGCCTACTCTTTACCCACCCTGGACCTTCCACAGATATATAATCCTCCCTTGTTTAGTTTCCAATATACTTCACTACCTCTGAGGATGCCTGCCATAGATGTGGGTGAAACATCCGGAGAGAATGCTTCTGCAAAATGGCCAGACAGCCCAGAAAACTCACATTTATCGTAAGTAAGCATTGACAAGATCAAAACTGAAAATGATGAGGGAGTGGCATAACAAGCGAACACATTATGCCTTACTGAGCTGGAATCAAAGAGAACTAACCACTAATTTGAATTCTTCATTAATGTATAAAATACAAACAGTACAAATAAATAATCTGACATAGTACGAGATTGTTAAAACGTTAATATTCATAGTAAGAAGAAACCCAACACCAAAGCCCCAATGCAGACAATCATTGGGCACACGGGAATTCGAGGGAAACACACACACACACAACACAAATGTACAGATTTCTTCCCTTCACTACCACAAAATGGGAAGTGTGTATTGTTACATAGAAAAAGCCACGAATAACAACAACATATTTTTGGACTAGGGCTAGATCTGAACTGCCATTTAGCACAGTTTCAGGATTTGGATTAACTGCATCTTAACTATGTTATATGAGTCCACATGGCTATATAATCCAGTTCAACACACAGTTCATCTGAATTATGAAACTGAAACACTTCTTTCCATTTTCTTCTTATACATTCACAGTGGCATGTAAACAGATCTGATTGTCCAAGACACAGCATGAATTCTAATAATAGTGGGTTGTTTTGAGTTTTCCGGGCTGTATGGCCATATTCCAGAAGCATTCTCTCCTGACGTTTCGCCTGCATCTATGGCAGGCATCCTCAGAGGTTGTGAAGCCCCGAAACCTCTGAGGAAGCCTTCCGTAGAAACATCAAGAAAATGGGTTGTTGTAGGTTTTTCCGGGCTATATGGCCATGTTCTAGAGGCATTTTCTCCTGACGTTTCGCCTGCATCTATGGCAAGCATCCTCAGAGGTAGTGAGGTCTGTTGGAAGTAGGGAAATGGGTTTATATATCTGTGGAATGACCAGGGTGGGACAAAGGACTTTTGTCTGCTGGAGCTAGGTGTGAATGTTTCAACTGACCACCTTGATTAGCATTTAATGGCTTGGAAGTGCCTGGGGGGAATCTTTTGTTGAGAGTGATTTGATGTGCCTGATTGTTTACTCTCTTGTTGTTTTGCTGTTGTACTTCCAAGGCACGCATTTTCCTACTTCCAACAGACCTCACTACCTCTGAGGATGCTTGCCATAGATGCAGGCGAAACATCAGGAGAAAATGCCTCCAGACCATGGCCATATATCCCGGAAAAACCTACAACAACCCAGTGGTTCCGGCCATGAAAACCTTCGACAATACATCAAGAAAATGCTTCTGGAATATGGACAGACAGCCCAAAAAACTCACAACAACACAGTGATTCCAGCCATGAAAGTCTTCGAGAATACATCTAATAATAGTGATTTTACACACACATCATTTCTTCATGCTAGCATGAAATTGCTTACCCACTTTGGTAACCTTTGGTAAGTTGTATGGAGCTATTTCTACCAACGCCCCATCACCACAAACATAATGCAATGTATATATTTATAGATCATATATACAGATGCAAAGACCCTGAGCATACACTTGAGCCTGATTATTAGGTCTGGCAAGGGATCAAAGTGTACAGTAAAATAAGAAATATATATATTTATATATATATGGTATAAATTACCCCTTAAAATAAATACTCAAATAATTAATCACTACCTTTTTCATTGAGTGCATATCAAAATAAATAGTTGATTCAAGCTGCTACTAAGGCATCGACGTCTTCCATTTCTAGCGCTAAACAATTTAATCTCATTGGCTAAGGCTTAACATAATACAACATTTAACACTGCATTCAGAATTAGTTCAGTTTTCCTTTCCCAAGCAGATTCTGCTATGCTAAAGTTTGGATTAGTACAAATGCAAAATCAGGTGAGAAACACAGTTTTGCCATGTTAACATAATAAGGTAATATTTGCTGCCGAAGCTTGAGCCAAACCACTGAGAATGAACTCAAGGACTTGTAACTCCCGACAACATGGCAACAGAGATGTGCATTATAACATGATGCGTTTAAAAAAAACCAAACTAGTATTTCGTAAACAACTTTGGCACTTCGAATGTTATTATTCTTATTATTATAAAACAAATTATTCAATTTTGCAGCACATCAAAAAGTGCTAAATTATATTAAAAAATACAACAGAAATAGCTAGGTCATTTGCGAGTTTCCTAGCAAATGGTTAGAATAACAGCTTTGGATCAGTGGTCAAGATGGACTCCTATTGCTCGGTCTCAAGTCAGGCATGGGCAAACTTTGGCCCTCCCTCCAGGTGTTTTGGACTTCAACTCCCACAATTCCTAACAGCCTACCGGCTGTTAGGAATTGTAGGAGTTGAAGTCCAAAACACCTGGAGGGAGGGCCAAAGTTTGCCCATGCCTGACTTAAGTCAACTCACGGAGAATGCACAACAGCAAGACCAAAACCGCTGAAATACTTTGACCAGAACAGATGCATCTAGGCTTGAAGATCAGCAGTGGAAAGGCTGCTAGATTTGCCAAGTGCGACTTATCTTCTGCCCTGCGTTAAGGTTCTCTCATTTGCGTCGTTGCCCTCTCTCTTGCTTGGTTTGATTTCGTGTCCCGAGACACCGTTTGCCTGGAAGCTGCTACCTGCAGGACAGAGTTCCTGCAAGGCCCTTTCCACTTCCTCCTTCTTGGCCGAAGCACTTCCTGGCATCTTGGGCAAAGTCATCTGAAGAGCGCACCACAAAGCGGTGCGTGTTTTCCGCGTGAAGAAAGCCAGGTCTTTAATAGCGGCGGCCAGAGCAAGGATATCTGTAACAAGAAACAGTTTCCAATTAATTACAGGAGGCATGGGCCAACTTTGGCCCTCCCTCCAGTTGTTTTGGACTTCAATTCCCACAATTTATTTATTTATTTATTTAAAACATTTATATTCCGCCCTTCTCACCCCGAAGGGGACTCAGGGCGGAGCACAGCATATATACGGCAAACATTCAATGCCGGGACACAAATTCACATACAATACATAAACATTAAAAAAACCATTTATCAAAGTATTATATACACCATTTAAAACCGTCCTAGTCATCCGCGTCAAATCTAATTGGCCTGCTCATCTTTCCTATTGCCCTTTTATTGCCCTGTCCCGAAAACTTGGTCCCACAGCCAAGTTTTTACCATCCTTCTAAAGGACAGGAGGGAGGGGGGCCGACCTGATCTCATCAGGAAGGGAGTTCCATAGCCAGGGAGCAATCACCAAGAAGGCCCTGTCTCTCATCCCCACCAATCGTGAATGTGAAAATGGCGGGACGGAAAGCAGGGCCTCCTCAGAGGATCTTAATCTTCGCAATGGTTCATAGGCGGAGATGCGTTCGAACGGGTAATTTGGGCCAGGGCCGTTTAGGGCTTTATAGGCCAAAGCCAGCACTTTGAATTGTGCCTGGTAGCAAACTGGCAGCCAGTGGAGCTGGCGTAACGTGGGAGTTGTATGCTACCTGTATGCTGCCCCAGTTATTAGCCTTGCTGCCTCTCGCTGGACTATTTGAAGCTTCCGAGCAGTCTTCAAAGGCAACCCCATGCAGAGTGCATTGCAGTAGTCTATCCTAGATGTAACAAGAGCATGGACCACCATGGCCAAGTTTGACTTCCCAAGGTACAGGGGCAGCTGGTGCACAAGTTTTAATTGTGCAAATGCTCCCCTGGCCACCGCTGCAACCTGGGATTCCAGGCTCAGTGATGAATCCAGGATCACTCCCGAGCTGCGAACCTGTGCCTTCAAGGGGAGTATAACCCCATCCAGCACAGGTTGCGACCCTATACCCTGTTCGGCCTGGAGGACCTGACCAGGAGGACCTCTGTCTTGTCTGGATTCAACTTCAATTTGCTTGCCCTCATTCAGACCGTCACAGCAGCCAGGCACCCATTCAGGACTTGGACAGCCTCCTTAGCAATTTCCCAACAGGCACTGAAATCCAAAACACCTGGAGGACCCGTGCTTGATTTGCAGATTCAGTTGGTTGCATTTTTGCAGTAACCTAACCCAAACTTTCCATGTTTTGGAAATAAATATCTTTTGAAGGTTCCATACCCAAACACTGAAATAGAGAAGAGGTCCTCAAACTAAGGTCCATGGGCTGGATACGGCCCTTCAAGGTCATTTACCTGGCCCTCGCTCGGGGTCAAGTTTGAAAAGACTTGAAAGCACACAACAATAACAATCCTATCTCACCAGCCAAAAGCAGGCCCACACTTCCCATTGATATACTAATAAGTTATTATTATTATTATTATTATTATTATTATTATTATATTTTTTAATATTTTTTTTAAAAAATCTCTTTTTTCCTTGCTTCCCCCCCCCCCCCACCTTTTTTTTTTTTACTAGAGGGGTTCCTGCACCTGGTTGGGACAAGCTCTTTAAAATCTTTCTCCATACTCCGATATTTCTTTTGTTCTACTTTATTTCCTACTTTTCTATCTCCTCCACAATATTACCCTACTTTCCATGTAACTATAAACCCTTTTAATAAAAATTAATTTGGAATAAAAAATACTAATAAGTTTATACTTGTCAAAATTGTCCTTCATTTTAATTATTGTATTATTTTAAAGTGTTTTTTGCACTACAAATAACATATATGCAAATTATAATCCGGCCCTCCAACAGTTTGAGGGACTGTGACCTGGCCTTGTTTAAAAAGTTTGAGGACTCCTGATGTAGAGTGTTGACAGAAAACATAGAATACTAATATACACATGATTACGGCTTGCAGAGAAGCAGAGAGAGACAGATTTTGGAGAGTGCTCTTTCTCACTTCATGAGCCGCTGAAGGAGTTTATCCAAATAAACCGTATCTCGGGAAGTCTGACTTGGCCACGGTGGTACACGCTCTGGTCACATCCCGCCTTGACTACTGCAACGCTCTCTACGTGGGGCTGCCCTTGAAGACGGCCCGGAAGCTTCAGCTGGTTCAGCGCGCGGCAGCCATGTTACTAACTGGAGCAGGGGGCAGGGAGCATACAACGCCCTTGTTGTCCCAGCTCCATTGGCTGCCGATTTGCTACCGGACCCAATTTAAGGTGCTGGTTTTGGCCTACAAAGCCCTAAACGGTTCCGGCCCAAAATACCTTTCGGACCGCATCTTGGCCTATGAGCCCACGAGGACCTTGAGATCGTCTGGGGAGGCCCTTCTCTCGATCCCGCCTGCCTCACAGGCACGTTTGGCGGGGACGAGGGAAAGGGCCTTCTCGGTGGTGGCCCCCCGGCTGTGGAACACTCTCCCTGCACACATCAGACAGGCGCCCTCCCTCATGTCCTTCCGAAAAAGCCTCAAGACATGGCTGTTCGAGAAGGCATTTAATTAGTGCTTAACAATGTGGTAAAGATGATTGGAATGGAACAAGGAATATGAGATTGGTTATGATTCCACTAAGAGACGAAGCGGATTTTTAGCGTAGTTTTTTGTAATTGTTATGTAGTTTATATGTTGTTGTAATTGCCTTTTTGTAAATTGTCCTTTATGTGTGTGTACACCGCCATGAGTCGCCCTAAAGGGCTGAGAATGGCGGTTAATAAATGCATCAAATAAATAAATAAATAATAATAAATAAATAGACAAAGAAAGTCATAGAATCATAGAATCAAAGAGTTGGAAGAGACCTCATGGGCCATCCAGTCCAACCCCATTCTGCCAAGAAGCAGGAATATTGCATTCAAATCACCCTGACAGATGGCCATCCAGACTCTGTTTAAAAGCTTCCAAAGAAGGAGCCTCCACCACACTCCGGGGCAGAGAGTTCCACTGCTGAACGGCTCTCACAGTCAGGAAGTTCTTCCTCATGTTCAGATGGAATCTCCTCTCTTGCAGTTTGAAGCCATTGTTCCACGTCCTAGTCTCCAGGGAAGCAGAAAAAAAAGCTAGCTCCCTCCTCCCTGTGGCTTCCTCTCACATATTTATACATGGCTATTTAAACCTCTCATAAAAGGACATTATGTGAGCTGATGCAACAGAGCACAGAGTACATATATTGTCCTGAACTATGAAGAGTAAACTACTTGTTCTTTACTGTTCACCTGCATGGTGTATTTTCTTTCTCTGGCAAGGCAGTGTGTGGGCTGATCAATTGTGAACCACATGTAATTTATTTTACACCACGCCACAGGAATCACTTGCCTTTTTCATTATGGTGACGAGATGTCTGTTGCCTTTGAGGATTAACCGAATTCACCACTTCAGCCTTGCGTCTTGCTTGCGTAGCCCAGATGGCTTCCAGGTGACGTCCCAAAGTGGCCGATATGTTTCTATGAACAGGACTGCCAGATATGTGCTCCATTTTCTCTAGTAAAGTGTATACCTAAGGAAAAAGGTGACCAATGCCTTGCTATACTTTTTAATCTTGGAGAAGGAAAAAATTACCAAGCACATAGGGTCAAGAACAAGGCATGGGGATGCATCTACACTATAGAATTAATGCAGTTTGGCACTACTTTAATTATCAGGGCTCAAAGCTATGGAATCCTGGGAACTGTGGTTTGACAAAGCACAGACACTCTTTGGCAGAGAAGGCTAAAATCCCTGAACAACTCCCAAGATTCCACAGTACTGAGCCATAGCAGTTGAGGTAGTGTCAAATTACACTCATTCTGCAGTGCAGGTGAAGCCCTGGACACATGTACGCACTTCACATGTACCCTCCACAAATAAAGCTATATTGCAGGATGTGCTGCCACTGTTGTTCATAATTAAAATAATAATAATAATAATAATAATAATAATAATAATAATAATAATAATAATATTTATTTATACCCCGCCACCATCTCCCCAATGGGGACTCGGGGTGGCTTACATGAGGCCAAGCCCAACAACACAATACAATACATAAAATCAAAATATAAACAATAACATAATAAATTACACAAGGCATTTAAAAATATATAAAATTGAAATAAAATCATTCATAACACAGTAGTAGTGAGCGGGCTGCATGTTACTAAAGATACTAAAGCTAAAAATGCGGGGTGAGATGGGGTGGAGCAGATTTATTTGTGTGGGAGAAACTCTTCAGGAACGGGGTCGAGAGGAGTCTTCGTACAGGTGAAGAGGGGGTGTATTCTAAGGACAGACATTGTGGGGTCATGGCAATATCAGGTCATATGGTTAATCATCAATGGAATGGAATGGTTAATCATCAATGCAATGGAAGAGCCAGGTTTTAAGATTCTTCTTAAAACTTTCTAGGATGGGGCTCACGTAATCACGCGAGGTAATATATTCCACAGTCGGGGGGCCACTTAAGAGAAAGCTCTCTCCCTTTTCCCATGATTCCGAAAGGACTGTCTCAACGGCACGTCATCATTATGAAACGTATTACCTTTGCATGCTCTCGGAATTGGTCCACAATCAGACGATCCACTCTGGAAGGCTTTGCAGGAAGCCGAGAAAACGGAGCATTACTTGACCCGGATACGCGCTTCCCTGGGAAATGTCTTGCTAGATCTGCCTCTGCCTGAAGAGAACAGAAAAATAAAGATCTATATCATTCTACTCCTTATTGCATCTGAAGCGGTTGAACAACACTAATTCATACGACTGCTTTTTTATAAATATTGGAGACGTTCATTTAAATGCTATTCAGAACTAGCAGCAGCATCACAACAACCTGGATTGCTATATTAACAATGGTTTGAGTTATTTCAATTCTAGATTCGCAACAGAGTGTGCATGTTAGTAAATAGAACTTGCTGTGAGTATAATTACTATATCATTGTTGTGTGTATTATATATCTTTGCTATGCATAGTGTATGCCCAATGCAACTAAAATAAAGTGAAGAAAGGGGGCCCAGGAAGACAGTTCCATCTTGTCTCCTGTGTTATGCTAATAATATAATATAATATATTGTATATACATATATTTATAATATTATAATGTAATACAATAAAATACTAATAATTATATATTATGAATATATATTTTATATTGTATGTAATATTGCTAATAATATTATAGTATAATGGTATAGTACAATATAGTAATATGCTAATAATATAATATATTGTATGTATATATATCTTGTAAGCCGCTCCAAGTCCCCTTCGGGGTGAGAAGGGCGGCATATAAATGCCGCAAATAAATAAATAAATAATGTAGAACTAACTTTAGCCACTATGTATGTTCCCTTTAGGATCCACTTCTCAGAAATATCACACAGAAATTTCAGAAATATCACAAAGAGTACTGTTAATAGACCATGTCTCAAGTGCTGAGCTTTTGGATATTGTGAGTAAGCAGTGTGTATATATACATTTATAAGCTTTATGTTCCTAGATGACAACTTATATGTTTGTATTTATAATATGTAACATTTACAGGCCCAACCACCTTATGAAGGCTCTTGTGAGTCGAAACTGGTTGTGAGGGAATGTTGGGGTCTCATCTATATAAATAAATATATCAGGGGTCCATTCAAACCAAGGCCCGAGGGTCAGATACGGCCCTCCAAGGTCATTTACCCAGCCCTCGCTCAAGGTCAATCTAAGTAAAAAAACGACTTGAAAACACACAACAGCAATCCTATCTCATCAGCCAAAAGCAGGCCCACACTTCCCATTGAAATACTAAGTTTTAAAAATTGTTCTGCATTTTAATTATTGTATTATTTGTAAATGTTTTTGCACTACAAGTAAGATATGTACAGTGTACATTATGAATTCATTCATGTTTTGTTTCAAATTATAATCCGTCCCTCCAACAGTTTGGGGGATTGTAATGTGGCCCTCTGTTTACAAAGTTTGAAGACTTCTGATCTATCTATATAAATAAAAATGTAATGTTCGTTTGTGGGATTAACATAACTCAAAAGCCACTGGACGATCTGACACCAAATTTGGACTCAATACACCTATCAGGCCAACAAGTAACCATCACTCATAAAAACACAGCAGAAGAGACTTAAAAAGCAAAAAAAACAAAAAAACAAAAACAAAAATTACATTACAATGCATGCACAAAACTACACACATATACAGTATATATGTAAACACACATATATACACATATGCAAATATATACACAAACAAAACACATATACACAGACTGGGCCACAGCAATGCATGGCAGGGGATGGCTAGGCTGTACTAAAGACATAAGCACTCTTACTATACATATGAAGAGTCAATTCATATTTTGAGAAAAGAACAAGTTCTTTTCAATATGAATGTAACACTCTTGTGTTTTATTGGCTTTATTTATGTTTGTATGTATGCATTGCACTTTTATGTGTTTCAATACTGATGCATCATAGAATTTTAGATACCTTAGATGCAAATCATAATAGGTTCTAATCAAAAGCTGTAATGCTGTAATGCTGTCCTTAGACGAGGCATGGGGGCAAACTTGGGCCCTCCAGGTGTTTTGGACTTCAACTCCCACAATTCCTAACAGCCTACCGGCTGTTAGGAATTGTGGGAGTTGAAGTCCAAAACACCTGGAGGGCCCAAGTTTGCCCACGCCTAGTATATGGCATACCAAACTAACAGAAGCAGATATAGCTGCTGCTTATGTTATTTATTGTGAACTCCACTTACGTTACCCACCTTTTTGCGTTCCCTCTCTAGAGCTCTAAGCTGTTCATAACACTCTTCCAGGTGAATGTGGAGCTCATTGGCCGGCCCGCTGCGACTCTTTGGAGGCCTGTAGTGGTTCAGAGGCGGCGGAAAGGCAAAGTACGGCGCAGCCGTATTATCTCCTCCGCAAAGGTCACTGATGAAAGGACTGATGTGGGAGAAATCCTCACAGCGGAAAAGATCGACAAGTTCAGACAACGGAAACGGCAGCAGGGAAAAGGCAGCAGGGTTAAATGGCGACGGAAACGGAGGAGGAGGAAACAGAGGAAAATGAGGCAGGTGTTTATAAGCAGATACCAATGGGAAAAGAGGGAGGAAAGAAGGATTGATGTAGTCAGGAAAGATGGCACCGTTCTGTTCCTGATTTCTTCTCAGGACATCAAACTGTGTTCGATCTGGACCTGGGAAGCCCGGATGTTGACTCCAACTATTTTTACGTCTCCTTTCATTCTGCGCAATTCTCTCATCAGTATTGTTTTGATTCTGCTTCGTGTCATATCTATGGTACTGTGCAGATGCATTTGCAGAATACTGCTGTGATATACAGCTGGAGGAAGCGGTAAGTGGCATTTTACCAAAGCTTCCCTCAGTACGCAGTGCAGAATCACCCTGGGAGGGTCCAAGAGGGTTATGCTGTTTCTGGCTTCCAGAACAACCGGAATATCCTGAATTGTGGGAAATGTCTGTGAAAAACTGCAGTTTCCTGTCCCTTCCTGAGGATAACATTGGCGACTCATTTGCAGAAGGCCCACCTGACCGAGGCCCTGAAGATAACTGAGAATTAATTTGCATTTGCTTTCCATACGTTACACCTGATGTAGTGATTGGATTTTGTGTTTTAGCATCCAGCCAGGTGTATCCATTGTAAGATGAATCCATATTCTCTGCAGCTGGCTTCAGAGACAGCTGATAATTAGAGTCTTTCCCAGGATGTACAGGGTTCTTACATTCAGTATGGACAAAATTGGTCCTATTGGAGTGGTTTTGTGGGCAAATTTCCTCAAATTTCCCATCCATTCCTTTAGGAAAGCCATTTTCCTTATTAAGTGATTGACTGAAGCTAAAGTGCCTGGAGTCAGGAGCAGCTGAAAAGGTTCTTTTAGCATACAAACCGTTTTCCTTTGCCATTGGGTCCCATATTCTATCCACAGCAGTGTTAGACAAATACTCAAAATACTTGCTTGATCCTTCTGTGCTGTTTCTCCCAAGCTTGCCTCCAGCAGCATCAGTTTTGGGGGATTCTCTGTAGGTATTGGTGCTATCTTTCATTTGAGGCCGAGATGCTGAAGTGCTTCCACTATGACTCTTCTCATAACTGAAGAAACCGATCCCTCCATTCTTAGAAGTGTTGTCGTCCAAACTGGCCATCTTTGAGAGCTCATGGGGAGAAGGCATGAAAGGCTGTGACGGTGGAAACCGGGCTCTGTTCACTTGCAGCTCCTCGCATTCTTTTTTTAATAGCCCTATGGAGGAGGCCTTTCCTAGGTTTTCTTCACAAAGCTTCGGAGAACTAGCAGAATTGCAGTTTTCACTTTCCATTTTTTTTGCAGGAAAAAGCCCCGAGAAACTCCCGTCGTTTTCAAAGTTGGGTGACCACACTGGGGGAAACAGTCTTGACAGAGAATTCCTGAAATAACAAGAGGTTTCAGAATTAAACATGGGCTGTCAGGTACTGCGGGCATTGAAATCCAAAACAGAGGGCCTGCTCTAGCCAGTACTGACCTTGTTTTCACCATCTATATTAGGAGTTCTCAAACTAAGGCCCGAGGACCGGATACGGCCCTCCAAGGTCATTTACCCAGCCCTCGCTCAAGGTCAACCTAAGTCCAAAATGACTTGAAAACACACAACAACAATCCTATCTCATCAGCAAGCGAGAGTCCAAAAGTGGCAGGCCCAAACCCAGCACCTCAATCTATGGGTGATACCAGATGAGAGACTCCCCCCTGGGCACACAGAATACTGGACGACTTGGAAGGCGCTGAACAGACTGCGCTCTGGCACCACGAGATGCAGAGCCAACCTTCAGAAATGGGGCTTCAGGGTGGAATCCACAGCATGCAAGTGCGGAGAAGAACAAACCACTGACCACCTGCTGCAATGCACCCTGAGCCCTGCCACATGCACAACGGAGGACCTTCTTGCGGCAACACCAGAGGCACTCCAAGTGGCCAGATACTGGTCAAAGGACATTTAACCAACTACCAAGTTTGCAAAATCTGTGTGTTTTTTTAATCTGTGTGTTTGTTTTGTTCTGTTAGAAATGTAATACAATGGTATGGTTGCTGATGACACGATAAATAAATAAAAGCCAAGAGCAGGGCCACATTTCCCATTGAAATACTAGTAAGTTTTTAAAATGGTTCTGCATTTTAATTATTTATTGTTTTTAAGTGTTTTTGCACTACAAATAAGATATGTACAGTGTGCATAGGAATTCATTCATGTTTTGTTTCAAATTATAATCCGGCCCTGCAAACGTTTGGGGGATTGTAATCTGGCCCTGTTTAAAAAGTTTGAGGACCCTTGATCTATATAAATAAATAATGTAATGTTCATTTGTGTAGCCTGTTGTCGACCTTTGCAACCCGAAAGACAGTTGCATCTGCCAAGTAGGAAAATTAGGTACCACCTTAAAGTGTGGGGAGGCTAAATTAACTAATTTATGAGGCCATAAAAAAAGACTCCAGCAAAAAGCATGCGAGGAATGTGGAAGTACTTCATCAGTGTCGCAGATGGACGATGAAAGCGACAGCTCCCCTGGCGCCCAGAAAAAGTTAAATAGCCTCTGTGTATGTCTGTATATGTTGTATGTCAAAATTGGTATTGAATGTTTGCCATATATGTGTACACTGTAATCCGCCCTGAGTCCCCTGCGGGGTGAGAAGGGAGGAATATAAAAGCTGTAAATAAATAAATAAATAAATAAATAAATAAATAAATAAATTTGTGGGATTAACATAACTCAAAAACCACTTGTCAAATTGCCGCCAAATTTGGCCACAAGACACCTACTAACCCAAGGAGTGACCATCACTCAAAAAATTGATTTTGTCATTTGGGAGTTGGCTGAATATTTATTTATTTATTTATTTATTTACGCTATTTGTATACCGCATTTATCAGCCGTGCCCGGCGACTCAATGCGGTTTACAGTAAAAGTTGTGCACACTAACAATGTAAAGACAAACATAAACAAACGACACACATATAAACATCAACGCCTCACATAAAATCAGATTCCGTTCTCACATTCCATTGCCATTCCTTGTTCAGTTATGCCGTCTTCCTGGATTTAATTGCAATTGCACAGCTATCCGCACGCCTGCTCAAAGAGCCACGTCTTAACCCTCCTCCGAAACACCAGCAACGAAGGGGCCTGCCTGATGTCCGCTGGTAGGGCATTCCATAGCCGAGGGGCCACCACCGAGAAGGCCCTGTCTCTCGTCCCCGCCAGCCGCGCTTGTGATGCCGGCGGGACCGAGAGCAGGGCCTCCCCGGACGATCTTAACGTCCTCGCCGGTTCATAGGTGGAGATGCGTTCTGGCTGAAGATGTTCCTGAAGGGAATGGGGATGATGGTCTGTTTCCTGGGCCTGGTTTTAGAGATGTGGGGCCTGAATGCAGTTCAGTTGATGGCTTAAAGAGGCCTGTATTGCTGCAAAGGGATTCTCAAGGGCTTAAGCCTGGGAAAGGCTTTGTGCCGCAGTCTCCAGGTGCAGATTTTAATGAAGACTTGAACAGAAGAAGTGCTTTTAGCCAGCAAAGACAAACAAATCAGAAATTAAGGTGTTCAGCCAGATTAGAGCAAAAGCTAGTCGTGAAACCAAAAGAAAAAATCCGTTCTTAGCTGTTTGGGAAACAAAGTAGAGATATAAGTGCCAAGTACTGAGTCTAGGTTCAGCGACATTGGATTCACAATAAGTTCTTCATGCCAAATTCCTGGACCTTTGACTTTCTCTGTTCTTACACTGATCTAGGCAAAATCAAGCTTAGGCTGCCATCCTATGCATGTTTACAGTAGAAAGTTATTTCAATGATATATACCATGTGTAAGCACTTGGACCTTCCCACATATATTATGCTTTGGTTAAGGATGTTAGCTGAGACATATTTTCAATTAAGCTTATATACTACTTTACAGTAACTAGTTATATAAATAGTTATCAATTTACCAATCTGTAGCATGTTCCTGCTTGTTTGGCTCTTCCAAGATGTTTGCCACTAAACCAAGCACATCAGGGCCGTGGCCAAAATGCGATACATTTTCTTGTGACCTGAAAACAAAAGTGGGGAAAATATTAGAGTCTTAATCAATTGCTTACATGAATGTGTTATTATGTTGCTTCAGGTTCTGTAACACACTTTCAAATTTTAGGATACAGACAGTTCCCAAGTTATGAACAAGATACATTATGTAAAAAAAGGTAAAGGTAGTCCCCTGACATTAAGTCCAGTCATGTCTGACTCTGGGGTGTGGTGCTCATCTCCATTTCTAAGCCGAAGAGCCAGCGTTGTCCGTAGACACCTCCAAGGTCATGTGGCCTACCTTCCCGCCGGAGCTGTACCTATTGATCTACTCACATTTGCATGTTTTCGAACTGTTAGGTTGGCAGAAGCTAGGGCTGACAGCGGAAGCTCACGCCGCTCCCCGGAATCGAACCTGCGACCTTTCGATCAATAAGCTCAGCAGCTCAGTGCTTTAAACCACTGCGCCACCAGGGGCTCCAACATTATGTAGGTTTGTCCTTAAACTGAATTTGTTTGTAAGTTGGAACAGGTACATGTTCAAGTGTAACTCCAACCAAATATATATAAAGGTAAAGGTTTCCCCTTGACATTAAGTCTAGTAATGTCTGACTCTGGGGGTTGGTGCTCATCTCAATTTCTAAGCCGAAGAGCCGGCGTTGTCCATAGACACTTCCCAGGTCATGTGGTCAACATGACTACATGGAGTGCTGTTACCTTCTCGCCAGAGCTGTACCTATTGATCTACTCACTTTTGCATGTTTTGAAGTGCTAGATAGGCAGAAGCTGGGGCTAACAGCGGGAGCTCACTCCGCTCCGCGGATTTGAACCACTGACCTTTTGGTCAGCAAGTTCATCTCAGCAGCTTAACCTGCTGCACCCCTCCAGGACAAACTTATATATATATATACACATACACACACACATATACATATAATACATATAAGCTTCGGATAGCATGGGGAACTGCCTGTATATGGATTAGGATGTATAAAAAAACAACATAATGGAAACATTTAAAGAAAAGGAGGTAAGAACTATGAGGCCAAGATCACTGGAAAGTCTGTTATGCAGCAAATTAATTATAAGCATTGTTTCAACTGCAGTTAAATGATCCAGTTAGCTAAAGTAGCAAAGACATCTGGGAAGGAAAAATATTTTTCTACTGTTCATAACAATGTACGCACATCAAAGATGGGTTTTTAAAGTGTCTATTTTTCAATATACTGTTTGTATAACTAGACTTGGGGTGTTAAATGACACAACCATCATTCCCAATTGGAGGGAGGAACGTGAGACAGAACAATTTCCCCTCCTTATGTCTTTCTTTACTTTCTGACCGCATAAGAACTCATGGACTTTTCTTATTTACAATGCACATAACAGTCCCAGCAGAACTTCACACCAAAATCAAGTAGGATTGAAAAAACATTACACCTGCTATGCCAAACAAGCCTATACAGTACCCTTTATTCAAAATTAAATAGAATGAAATTTAAAATTTGCATAGGAACCACACAAAGTAAAAAAAAAAAAAAGCACAGGTTGCATTAAGGAACAGGTGCTTGTCATCATGTTAAAAACAACAAGGATAAAAGATTCAGCCTGGAGTTAGTTCAGCAGCAGAATTTTCCAGAAAGAGCCACAAGAGGGCAATCCTACCTTTTTCTGATGTGGTCAGGGAATGAAAGAGTAGAATGGGAATCATCTCCACAGGTTGACCAGCTACCATAGAACTGTGGAGGTCCCATGGCAGAGGGTGTATTTGTTATTCCTCCAAACAGCAGGGGGCGCAACTGGGCCTCCATTCCATGTTGAGTGCTATTTACCTGAGTTGAAAACAGAGAGAAATTTTTAAAATTAAACAACTTTACAAATCAAACAACCCAACAAACATCAACACTAATGAAGAAAAAGCAAATAGTTTTGTCTGTGCATCAAGAGGGTTTTTTTTTAAAAAAAATAGCTATGAATAGTTTTATCAAACTATAAAAATAGGTATAAAAGTTATAAATTATCTGCATATTAGGATTTCTATAGTTAATGGGGGATTACTGCAAAAAAAGTCTTCTAGCATGCTGTTCTTGCTGGCACAGGTATTTGAACTCTGGGATTTTGTGGTATTTTATTTGATATTAGAAAGATAAACTGCTAAGTTGTCATCTTTAGAAAAATCGTATGATGCCTCATAACACAAGATACAAGTGTGTCTGATTAGGTTTATTATGTTTCATTCAATTACTTATTTTTGGCTAGTTATTAAAAGTTTTTACTGACATTGTTTTATGTATTGTCTCAATTTGGTTTGTTTTTTTTTTGTTTCATTGTTTGTTTGTTTGTTTATTTAAAGCATTTACTGTATATACTCAAGTATAAGCCTAGTTTTTCAGTCCTTTTTTAGGCTGAAAAAGTCTCCCCCGGCTTATACTCAAGTCAATGTTACTTATTATCTTACTTTGTTATTGTTATTATTATTACATGTATTATTTTATTGTTGTTATTATTACATTTATTATTTTACTCTATTGTTATTATTTTACTCTATTTATTATTATTGTAGGACATGTAAGCATATTTACATTGAAGGAAGTTAGAATAATGGTTTAATCAGAGTTGGACAGTCTTAGCTTGAATTACAGTTTTATATAAATATCCAAAAACATTTAGCCTACTGTTGCCTAAATTAATATAATTTTATTGGTACCTATTTTATTTTGAAATTTACCAGTAACTGTTGCATTTCCCACCCTCGGCTTATATTCAAGGCAATCCATTTTCCCAGTTTTTTTATGGTAAAATTAGGTGCCTTGGCTTATATTTGGGTCGGCTTATACTCGAGTATATATGGTATATCCCATCCTTCTCACCCCTGATGAGTGACCCAGGGTGGCTATTATGGCACTGAATCTTTGCCACTTTTGTTTGGAAACTTTCCTGAGTCCCCTAAGGGAGATAGGGTGGGTTATAAATAAAGATGATGATGATTCATTACAAGAATACATATATTGAGCATCTGCAATAATAGCCGTCTTGTCTTGACTTAACCATACATACAAGTCATGGTACATTTCTTACTTCCCACTTTTGAAAAAAAATGGAGAAGTTCTAAAGAAAACTTAAAACACATCCATGTTCTAGCAGATAAGGTTACTGTACATGCTTCACAATGAACTCCCAGTTATTAAAATGTACATATTTTCCATATACTTAACAGAGTCAAAAACCACAATGGCATATGATGAATTGAAATTTATATATGAACTTTGCACATTTTCTCTCACTCAAGGAGAACATCAACAACCATAATGATTAGGACATACATTTGATTTTCTGAGCAAGGATCAAGTTAATTCCCCTAAACCTACCAGCTGTTAGGAATTGTGGGAGTTGAAGTCCAAAATACCTGGAAGACCAGACTTTGGGTATCACTGCCACATCACATGCTTTTGCATACCAAAGATTACATTCTGGGGGGGAATTTCCTATTTTCAAGTAGCCCTGTCTCCCTTCTAAACCAATAGACATGGAAATTTCTGTTTTATATAATTACAAAGTGAATTCCCTCCCAAGGACTCACCTGTGGCTCATAATGACCAAATGCGTCATTCTGCTTCACCATGTTCCCACTTTCTGCATGCAAATTTTTGTTTCCAAAGTGAGCATTTCCAAATAAACAGAGGTTGGGAGTCATAACAGGTTTCACCTGTGTACAGATAAACAGTTGCAAAACAGTGAAGCAATTCCTGAGGACAAATTCAGTAGCATACAGAGCAATATGCTCAAGAAAAAGGAACTACAAGAGTAGTTCAAACAATCCAGTTTAGTGTTTTATATGAAATAGAAAGATTATGTTCAGCAAACTCAGTATTACCTTCTTTCTCCTGGGATTAAATTCCCTTTGTATGGATATTTTTCCTATTACAAACTGGACCAAAAGAATCATAGAGTTGGAAGAGACCTCATGGGCCATCCAGTCAAACACCCTGGCAAGAAGCAGGAAAATTGCATTCAAAACATCCCTGACAGATGGCCATCCAGCCTCTGTTTAACAGCCTCCAAAGAAGGAGCCTTCACCACGCTCCGGGGCAGAGAGTTCCACTGCTGAACAGCTCTCACAGTCAGGAAGATTTCTTAATGTTCAGATGGAATCTCCTTTCTTGTAGTTTGTAGCCACAGTTCCGCGTCCTAGTCTCCAGGGCAGCAGAAAACAAGCTTTGCCCCCTCTTCCCTATGACTTCCTCTCACATACCTCTCACGTACTTATACATGAATTTTATTAGTGTTTTCGATCTCTCCACTGAACAATATACCTCTATTGATGTAGAAACAAAGCATTCGGCATCATCATTGGCACCCACATTGGCACCCAAATACCTGGGAGTCACTCTGGACTGTGCTCTTACCTACAAGAAGAACTGCCTGAACATCAAGCAAAAAGTGGGTGCTAGAAACAATATGATACGAAAGCTGACTGGCTCAACCTGGGGATCACAACCAGATACAGTGAAGACATCTGCCCTTGCGCTATGCTACTCTGCTGCTGAGTATGCATGCCCAGTGTGGAACACATCTCACCACACTAAAACAGTGCATGTGGCTCTTAATGAGACATGCCGCATTATCACGGGGTGTCTGCGCCCTACACCACTGGAGAAATTACACTGTTTAGCCGGTATTGCACCACCTGACATCCGCCGGGAAGTAGCAGCCAATAGTGAAAGGACCAAGGCAGAGACATCTCCAGCTCATCCCCTGTTTGGGTATCAGCCAGCACATCAACGACTTAAATCAAGAAATAGTTTTCTAAGATCTACAGAGACACTCACTGGAACACCTCAGCAAGCGAGAGTCCAAAAGTGGCAGGCTCAAACCTAGAACCTCAATCAATAGCTGATACCCAATGAGAGACTCCCCCCTGGGCACACAGAAGACTGGGCGACTTGGAAGGTGCTGAACAGACTGCACTCTGGCACCACAAGATGCAGAGCCAACCTTAAGAAATGAGGCCACAAAGTGGAATCCACAACATGCGAGTGTGGAGAAGAGCAAACCACTGACCACCTGCTGCAATGCAACCTGAGCCCTGCTACATGCACAATGGAGGACCTCCTTGCGGCAACACCAGAGGCACTCCAAGTGGCCAGATACTGGTCAAAGGACATTTAATCAACTACCAAGCTTGCAAACTCTGTTTTGCCTGTTTGTTAAAAATGTAATACAATTGTCTGGTTGATACTGACACGATAAATAAATCATCATTGTTGTCTAAAAAGCAACTCCCTTTTTTAAAAAAACAACCCTCTGATTTCAGATTTACTAGTGTAAACCCAAGAGAGCTAGCCTGGTACAATGGTTTACATGTAGGACTAAGGTTTCTGAAAGGTTGGATTCAGCCTTGTAAATCTATTTGGTGACCCAGAAAAGGTAATACTTTCTCAGCCTTATAGGAAGGCAACAACAAACCTTCCCTGTGTGACTCTGGCCACCCTTCATTTCTGCTTTTTCTTCCTTATTTCTAAGTTCTTTCCCTTGCCTCATTTAGCCTCTGTTGCCATTTATACTTATTTTATATACATAATAAAGAGAGATAAACATATACTACCTCTTCTTTAGTTTGCTTGACAAACTGCATCACTTTTCAGATACTCATATGCACACTTGCTCATGAGCAATATAGCGGAACCAGCAATTTCTGGATCTCAGCTGTGGCAAATTCAGCCATCGTCAGTATATTGGAGCTGCTACCTTACAGACTGCAGCTGAGACCCATAAGCTACAAACTCACATTACTCTGGTCATACAAGGACAACAGTAAAACCCTGCTCAGAAGAGTTAAACTAGCGTATATTGCCTCTTGTTGACTCCAGACTAAGCCATGACTGGCAAATAGGTGTCAACAGATTATTCCCAAGAAAAAATGACAATTTTGGAAAGGCTGGAGAGAAGTTTTTGGGTCCAGGGCTAAATTAAGATATTTAAACAGTGTGTGTACTCAACAAACTATTTCTTTGGTTTACCAAATAAAAATCAAGCATGCTATATTATTATTATTATTATTATTATTATTATTATTATTATTATTTTACTGACACAAAACCACAGTACGTCACAGCAAACAAGATCTATATGCTGGATTTCGTATCACAAAATCACAAGTCGAACACTTCCCAATCATCTAGGACTGTGTGGTGTATTGTTGAATGATGCGTGCAGAGCCAAGTAAGGTGGCCTTTTGCAATTATTACTATTATTATTATTAGCAACAGCAGCACAGCAGCTGCTGCTGCTTTGCCTCTCAATCAGGACATAACAGGATATACAAACATACATATAATAGAAACATACAAATATATCTATATAAATAAAAATGTAATGTTCATTAGTGGGATTCACAGAACTCAAAAACCACTGGACGAATTGACACTAAATTTGGACACAAGACACCTAACAACCCAATGTATGTCCTTCACTCAAAAAAATTTGATTTTGTCATTTGGGAGTTGTAGTTGCTGAGATTTATAGTTCATCTACAATTAAAGAGCATTCTGAACCCCACCAACGATGGAACTGAACCAAACTTGGCACACACTTCTCCCATGACCAACACCAAATACTGGGTTTGGTGGGCAGTGTCCTTTGGTTTTGGAGTTGTAGTTCACCTACATCCAGAGATCACTGTGCACTCTAACAATGATGGATCTGGACCAAACTCTACACAAATATCCAATATGCCCAAATGTGAACACTGGTGGAGTTTGGGGAAAATAGAATCCTCACATTTGGGGGTTGTAGTTGCTGGGATTTATAGTTCACCTACAATCACAGAGCATTCTGAACCCCACCAACGATAGAATTGGGCCAAACCTCCCACACACAACCCCCATGTGGGCCACAGCAACACGTGACAGGGGATGGCTACTCAAATAATATAAATATAGCAATAAATAAAAAAAAAACAACAACAACAGTATTTCTAAATCCATTTAAGAAATTTTCCAGAAAATATCCGCCATTTCTCAGGTTGAAGGCCACTTCAGCATCTCTTCAGCTAACACAACCCTTTATATCTACCCTCTTATGTTTTCTGCATTTAAGACTTTTTTTAAAGTCCACCAAACTCTAGAATAAAACATTTTTTTAAAAAAAAACTTTACTCGGATGGCCAATTTAAACAGCCTTGAGTGCAATTCAAAGAATGATTGCTTACATTTTACACTCCCCTTCCCCATTCTGAACACGGGAAGAAATTGTCGAAATGTTTCTGAAACCCCCAAACAAACCTGCTCTAGAGTTACACTAGGTGCTTCCTGCATGTGTGGGCCATCAAGACTGCAAGCTTCTAAGGGAGAAAGGTGGAGCTATATGTAAATGCATTCTGCGCGGCTCTTAAGTCCAATGTCAAAACCTAGGCTAGTCAAAAATGTGTTCAGCCGCCCCAACTCCGCTGCTATGGGACACTTGGGCATGACAACTCTTCCGTTACTACTTGCATACAGAAGCTGTTGCCAGGTTATTGTAGTGCCTCTTCTCCATGCACCAGAGAAACGGGATAAACAAATAAGTAAGAGGAACACAGCCATGACTCTGTCTAGATACTCAGAAGAATATTATCTATTCTTTGCACAGTTTCCAAGCAACAACCTTTGATCTACACACAACAGGCGCAAAGCCTGGTGTTACTTTACCTCCAGAAAATATTCTCCATGCGTACGATTCCTAATGAAACAGATCTGGAATGATAAGCTTTCTTCTTCATACACTTCAATTATTTTGAAACTGAAGTGCATTTTCCAATTTGAAAAACATTGAGCTTATTATATTTTGGCCCCCAGTTTTTCAGTCCTGCCTGATGTCACTAGAATACCAGTATGTAAAAGTATTATGGGAATTGTAGTCTGCTGTACAAAGCAAAACATAAACAAAACCAACAAAATTCCATGCACATCCTGGCCTAACTGGGCCAATATAAGAGGGAAAAGACATTACACTAACATTTAAAACTTCACCAGATTCTTCGCCATTGTGATCTCCCCAAACTGTAGAAAAAGCCAATTGTTCAGATTTAGTTTCTTTCAAATAGTACACTCCTAATCCTCCTGACCTTGCCAAGAGCTACTATTTAAACATGAATGGATGCGTGATGTAATAGGAAATTTCTCACTGCCATCTAAAACAAAATGCATAGCCTCAACCCTCACTTTCACAAAGGAATGAGATAAGCTTAATTAACTTAATCTTCAGTTTTATACTGCAAGAGGAGGGTTTGTGTTCAAACCCAATTTCTCCTTTGCACAGATCTATAGACTAATGCTCATTTTACCCCATCCCAACCCCAAATCTAACTGTAACCCTTTTACCTTATGTATTATATTTGTTATATTATAGTATACAATAGATATTTCATTATATATTAGATCATATATTATGTAATGTATGATATATAGTATATATAAAATCACAATAAAATAATAAATAAAATATAAAATGCAATTATAATCTAATACATAAATGTATAATATAATAAAATTATTTATATTTAAAAATAAAATAATAAAATTAAAGTACTTTAACATTAAATTTGTTATATTATTATATAGTATATGATATATATATATATATTATACTAGCCGTCCCCTGCCACACGTTGCTGTGGCCCAATCTGCGTATTAGTGCTTTGTGTGTGTATATATTTGTGTATATGTGTGTTTGTGGATATATATATGGTTTTGCACATGCATTGTAATGTATTTTTATACATTACACAGCAGCTTTTTAAGTCTCTTCTGCTGTGTTTTTCTGTGTTTTATGAGTGATGGTCACTTGTTGGCCTGTCCGAATTGTCCAAATTTGGCGGCAATTCATCCAGTGGTTTTTGAGTTATGTTAATCCCACAAACAAACTAACATTACATTTTTATTTATATAGATTATATATTTGTTAATATATATATATTGTTTGTTATATTATATATTATATATGATCACAATAAAATAACAATACAAAAATATATTAAAATATAGACTATAAAATATATTTAAATATATTATAATTACGATAAAATATAATAAAATAAAAAATACAATAAAATTATAATAAAATATAAAATATAATACAAAACAATACAATTATTTATATCTAAAAATAACTTGTACTTTATTTATTACATGTTATATTATATAAGATATATATATTATATTATTACAAAAATGATATTTGTTTATATATATATATATTGTTTGTTATATTACATATTATATATAATTACAATAAAATAACAATATAAATATATTAAAATATAGACTATAAAATATATTTAAATATATTATAATTACGATAAAATATAATAAAATAAAAAATACAATAAAATTATAATAAAATATAATACAAAACAATACAATTATTTATATCTAAAAATAACTTGTACTTTATTTATTACATGTTATATTATATAAGATATATATATTATATTATTACAAAAATGATATTTGTTTATATATATATATATATATTGTTTGTTATATTACATATTATATATAATTACAATAAAATAACAATATAAATATATTAAAATATAGACTATAAAATATATTTAAATATATTATAATTACGATAAAATATAATAAAATAAAAAATACAATAAAATTATAATAAAATATAAAATATAATACAAAACAATACAATTATTTATATCTAAAAATAACTTGTACTTTATTTATTACATGTTATATTATATAAGATATATATATTATATTATTACAAAAATGATATTTGTTTATATATATATATATTGTTTGTTATATTACATATTATATATAATTACAATAAAATAACAATATAAATATATTAAAATATAGACTATAAAATATATTTAAATATATTATAATTACGATAAAATATAATATAATAAAAAATACAATAACAAAATATAGAAATATAAAATATAATACAAAACAATACAATAAACTTGTACTTTATTTATTACATATGTTAAATTATATAGTTTATTTGTCGTGTCAGAACAACCAGTCAAATTATATTACATTTCTAACAGAAACAAAGCAAACAAGCAGATTACAGAATTTGTGAGTATGAGAGTTGATTAAACGTCCTTTGACCAGTATCTGGCCACTTGGAGTGCCTCTGGTGTTGCTGCAAGAAGGTCCTCCCTTGTGCATGTGGCAAATTATATAGTATAAGATATATATATTATTACAAAAATGATAAAAATATAAAATACAATAATAATAAAATATAATTGTATTTTATAAAAAAAAATAATTGTATTTTATAAAAAATACAAAACAATGCAATTATTTATATCTAAAATAACTTGTACATTATTTATTACATGTTATATTTTATAGTATAAGATATATATTATATTATTACAAAAATGATGAAAATATAAAATACAATTATAATAAAATATAGAAATATAAAATATAATACAAAAAATACAATTATTTATATCTAAAAATAGCTTGCACTTTATTTATTACATATGTTAAATTATATAGTATAAGATATATATACAATTATAATGAAACATAAAAATATAAAAAATACAAAACAATACAATTATTTATATCTAAAAATAACTTGTACTGTATTTATTACATGTTATATTATACAGTATAAGATATATATTATATATTACAAAAATGATAAAAATATAAAATACACAATAAAATATAGAAATATAAAATATAATACAAAACAATACAATTATTTATATCTAATAATAACTTGTACTTTTATTAGATGTTAAATTATATAGTATTAGATATATATTATTATTATTATTATTATTACAAAAATGATAAAAATATAAAATACAATTATAATAAAACAGAAATATAAAAATACGAAAGAATACAATTATTTATATCTAAAAATAACTTACAATTTATTTATTACATATATTATATTATATAGTATAAGATATATATTATATATTACAAAAATGATGAAAATATAAAATACAATTATAAAATATAGAAATATAAAATATACAAAACAATACAATTATTTATATTTAAAAATAATTTGTACTTTATTTATTACATATGTTAAATTATATAGTATAAGATATATATATATTATTACAAAAATGATAAAAATATAAAATATGATAACAAAATATAGAAATATAAAATATAATACAAAACAATTATTTATATCTAAAAATAACCTGTACTTTATTTATTACATGTTAAATTATATAGTATAATATATATATATATATTATTACAAATATGATAAAAATATAAAATACAATTATAATAAAATATAGAAATATAAAATATAATGCAAAACAATACAATTTATATCTAAAAATAACCTGTACTTTATTTATTACATGTTAAATTATATAGTATAAGATATATATATATATATATATATATATTATTACAAAAATGATAAAAATATATAATACAATTATAATAAATAAAATATATACATCTAAATTAGAATATATTAAAATAAAAAATAAAATTTACTATATATTATTACAAAAATGATAAAAATAAAAATACAATTATAATAAATAAAGTATATAACTATAAATTAGAATATATTAAAATAATTTACTAAAATAGCTTAACAATTAATTTAATATTACAGCTGTTACATTATATGATAGAGTAGATCATATATATTAGTTAATCTGTGTGAGATCCGGCCTCACCTCCAGAGAGCCCGCCCCGTCCGCCACCATCTTGAAAATAATGCCTGCTCTTCCCTTTCCGGTGCTTAGCAACCGCAGCCGGCCGTCGACTGATTGGTTGACAACTTGACTGACAAGCGAAGGAGCGGGGTTCCCTTCAACCGCCTTCCTCCCATTCGCTGTGAGGGGAAGGAGGCGGGCATTGCTGACTTGGCCCCGCCCCCTCCTCGCGCGCTTCTGTCCTTCGCTCGCGCCCTTAACAGCCCCGCCCCCTTTTCTACTCACGCGTTGATTGGCTGAGCAGACTAAGGGGCGGGGCTCAAAGTGACCGTTGACAGCTGTGAGTCAGCAAATCAAGCCCACACTCTCTCAGCCTCAGAAAGGGCTTCAAATATATATTATCAGTTAGTTAATATATATTAACAAATATATAATATATATTATATTATATTATATTATATTTTTCTTCTTGTGCCATTTGGATATTTATATGAAAATATATTATTATATATTGTATAATAATTTAATATATTATTATATAATATTTATAATCTTATAAAATGCAGTCATCGCTAATAGTCAACATGGAGTTATGAAAAACAAGTCATGCCAGACTAATCTGATCTCTTTCTTCGATAGAGCTACAAGCTGGGTAGATGCGGGGAATGCCGTGGATGTAGCGTACCTGGATTTCAGTAAGGCCTTCGACAAGGTCCCCCATGACCTTCTGGCAAGGAAACTAGTCCAATGTGGGCTAGGCAAAACTACGGTGAGGTGGATCTGTAATTGGTTAAGTGGACGAACACAGAGAGTGCTCACTAATGCTTCCTCTTCATCTTGGAAAGAAGTGACAAGTGGAGTGCCGCAGGGTTCCGTCCTGGGCCCAGTCCTGTTCAACATCTTTATTAATGACTTAGATGAAGGGTTAGAAGGCAGGATCATCAAGTTTGCAGACGACACCAAATTGGGAGGGAGAGCCAATACTCCAGAGGACAGGAGCAGGATTCAAAACGATCTTGACAGATTAGAGAGATGATGGGCAAAACACTAACAAAATGAAGTTCAACAGGGACAAATGCAAGATACTCCACTTTGGCAGGAAAAACGAAATGCAAAGATACAGAATGGGGGATGCCTGGCTCGAGAGCAGTACGTGTGAAAAAGATCTTGGAGTCCTTGTGGAAAACAAGTTAAACATGAGCCAACAATGTGATGCAGCGGCTAAAAAAGCCAATGGGATTTTGGCCTGCATCAGTAGGAGCATAGTGTCTAGATCTAAGGAAGTCATGCTACCCCTCAATTCCGCTTTGGTTAGACCACACCTGGAATATTGTGTCCAATTCTGGGCACCACAATTCAAGAGAGATATTGACAAGCTGGAATGTGTCCAGAGGAGGGCGACTAAAATGATTAAGGTCTGGAGAACAAGCCCTATGAGGAGCGGCTTAAGGAGCTGGGCATGTTTAGCCTGAAGAAGAGAAGGCTGAGAGGAGATATGAGTAGCCATGTATAAATATGTGAGAGGAAGCCACAGGGAGGAGGAGGGAGCAGGCTTGTTTTCTGCTTCCTTGGAGACTAGGTTGCAATGGAGCAATGGCTTCAAACTACAAGAGAGGAGATTCCATCTGAACATGAGGAAGAACTTCCTGACTGTGAGAGCCGTTCAGCAGTGGAACTCTCTGCCCCGGAGTGTGGTGGAGGCTCCTTCTTTGGAAGCTTTTAAACAGAGGCTTGTCAGGGGTGATTTGAATGCAATATTCCTGCTTCTTGGCAGAATGGGGGTGGACTGGATGGCCCATGAGGTCTCTTCCAACTCTTTGATTCTATGATTCTATGATCTGCTTTCTCTTAAATGAGTCTCAAAGCTGCTTACATAATAATATATATGAATTATATTTATATTTAAGTTCTGCTCTCTTAAATTAATCTCAAAGTAGGTTATTATATAATAATATTGTATATAATATTATAAATAGTATTTATTATTGTATGTGTATTTATATTGTTCTCTTAATTGTGTCTATTATATATTAGTATATATATTTATATATATATATCACAATAAAATAATAAATAAAAATATAAAATGCAATTATAATCTAATATATAAATGTATAATATAATAATAAAATTATTTATATCTAAACATAAAAGAATAAAATAAAAATAAAATAATTACTTTAACATTAAATAATATGTGTTAAAATAATTACTTTAACATTAAATAATGTGTGTGTGTGTATATATATATATATTACTGTAATATTTATATTTTGCTATTCTCTACAATGAGCCTCAAAGCAGCTTATAATATAATATAATATACAATAATATATATTGTATATATATTATGTTATTATAGTATATTTATATTTTTGTATGTGTATTTATATTGTTCTCTTAATTGCGCCTATTATATATTAGTATATATATATATACATATATATCACGATAAAATAATAAATAAAAATACAAAATGCAATTATAATCTAATATATAAATGTATAATATAATAATAAAATTATTTATATCTAAAGGTCAGATTTAGGCTCACTGCGCCCCCTAACCTCTGCAGAGGTGGAGGACCCATTAAGTTGGTCCGCCCCAGGAGGCTTATGGATCCGGATGGATTCCTGATGGCTCTTGGGGAGTTTCCCGCCGCCTCGGTAGGTGATCCTGTCGAGGCCCTGGTCACTCTCTGGAATGGGGAGATGACTAGGGCAATTGACACGATCGCTCCGGAACGTCCCCTCTCAAGTAGCCGAGCTAAACCAGCTCCCTGGTTCACCGAGGAGCTGGCAGCGATGAAGCGAAGGAAGAGGGAACTAGAGAGTGTGTGGCGTTCAGATCCGAGTGAGCCAAATCGAACACGGTTTGTGTCCTTTTTAAGGGCATATGCCGCGGCAATAAAAGCCGCAAAGAAGGCCTTCTTTGCGGCCACTATTGCGTCTGCAAAGAACCGTCTGGCTGAGCTGTTCCGAATTGTCAGAGGCCTTTTAAATCCCACCACTCAAGGTGGGAACCCTGACAATTCGACTTCTCGCTGTGAAGCTTTTGCTCAGTTCTTTACAGACAAAGTCGCTTTGATCCGTTCTGGTCTGGATACCATGTTAATGGCAGTCTCTGAGGATGTAACACGAGCACCTGCTTGTCCAGTTTTGATGGATTCATTTCAATTGGTGAAACCCGAGGATGTGGACAAGATACTTGGAGGAATGAGGCCAACCACATGCATCCTGGACCCCTGCCCATCCTGGCTTCTAAAGGAGGCCAGAGGGGGATTGGCTGAGTGGGTTAAGGTGGTGGTTAATGCTTCCCTTCGGGAAGGCAAGATTCCAGCGAGCTTAAAACAAGCTATAATAAAACCGCTGTTGAAAGAAACCATCACTGGACCCCACTAAATTCGACAACTATCGGCCAGTTTCCAATCTCCCCTTCTTGGGCAAAGTCTTGGAACGTGTGGTGGCCTCACAACTCCAGGTATTCTTGGTAGACACGGATTATCTAGACCCGGCACAGTCTGGCTTTAGGCCGGGACATGGTACCGAGACAGCCTTGGTCGCCTTAGTGGATGATCTGCGCCGGGAGCTCGACAGGGGGAGTGTGTCCCTGTTGGTGCTGCTGGACCTCTCAGCGGCATTCGATACCGTTGACCACTGTATCCTTCAGGAACGCCTCGCAGAAATGGGACTTGGGGGTACTGCTCTGCGGTCATTCCTTGAGGGTCGATCTCAGAAGGTGTTGTTGGGGGACACCTGTTCAACCCCACAACCATTGTCTTGTGGGGTTCCTCAGGGCTCAATATTGTCTCCCATGTTGTTTAACATCTACATGAAGCCGCTGGGGGAGATCATCCAGAGTTTCGGGGTACGGTGTCATCTGTACGCGGATGATGTCCAACTCTGTCACTCCTTTCCACCTGCTACTAAGGAGGCTGTCCAGGTCCTGAACCGGTGCTTGGCCGCTGTGACGGTCTGGATGAGGGCGAACAAATTGAAATTGAATCCAGACAAGACAGAGGTACTCCTGGTCAGTCGCAAGGCCGAACAGGGCATAGGGTTACAGCCTGTGTTGGATGGGGCCGCACTCCCCCTGAAGATGCAGGTTCGCAGCTTGGGTGTGACCCTGGACTCATCGCTGAGCCTGGAACCCCAGGTTTCGGTGGTGACCAGGGGAGCATTTGCACAGCTAAAGCTTGTGCGCCAGCTGCGCCCGTACCTTGGGAAGTCTGACTTGGCCACGGTAGTCCACGCTCTGGTTACATCCCGTTTAGACTACTGCAACGCTCTCTACGTGGGGTTGCCTTTGAAGACAGCTCGGAAGCTCCAACTAGTCCAACGCTCGGCAGCCATGATTTTAACAGGAGCGGAGCGCAGGGAGCATACAACCCCCCTGTTACGCCAACTCCACTGGCTACCGATCTGCTACCGGGCTGAATTCAAAGTGCTGGCGTTGGCCTTTAAAGCCCTAAACGGTTCCGGCCCAAGCTACCTATCTGACCGCATCTCTGCCTATGAACCCACCAGGAGTTTGAGATCTTCCGGGGAGACCCTGCTCTCGATCCCGCCTGCTTCTCAAGCTCGGCTGGCGGGGACGAGAGATAGGGCCTTCTCGGTGGTGGCTCCTCGGCTGTGGAACGCCCTTCCTTGGACATTAGACTAGCACCATCTCTAATGGTATTCCGCAAAAAGGTGAAGACCTGGATGTTTGTGCAGGCGTTTGAGTAATTTAGTGACAATCTGGTAATGGAACATAGGAATGGAACAATGGACGACGAATCTGGACTACGCTTGGATGATGAGAAGATTGGGTACGGTTGTTTTTTGTAATAATTGTGCATTGTAATTGCTTATTGGTAATTTATGGATAATGTGTTAAGTCAATTGTTATATGTTGTATGGAACCACTGCTGTTTCTACTGTTTTACTGTTTGTGAACCGCTGTGAGTCGCCTTCGGGCTTGAGATACAGCGGTATATAAGCAAAGTAAATAAATAAATAAATAAATAAACATAAAAGAATAAAATAAAAATAAAATAATTACTTTAACATTAAATAATGTGTGTTAAAATAATTACTTTAACATTAAATAATGTGTGTGTGTGTGTGTATATATATATATTACTGTAATATTTATATTTTGCTATTCTCTACAATGAGCCTCAAAGCAGCTTATAATATAATATACAATAATATATATTGTATATATATTATGTTATAGTATATTTATATTTTTGTATGTGTATTTATATTGTTGTCTTAATTGCGCCTATTATATATTAGTATATATATACATATATATCACGATAAAATAATAAATAAAAATACAAAATGCAATTATAATCTAATATATAAATGTATAATATAATAATAAAATTATTTATATCTAAACATAAAAGAAGGAGGGGAAAGGCACACTCTTTCAGCCTCAGAAATGGCTTCCAATATATATTATCAGTTAGTTAATATATATTATATTTTATATTACAATATATATTAACAAATATATAATAGAATATATATTATATTATTTTTTTCTTCTTGTGCCATTTGGATATTTGTATGAAAATATATTATTATGTATTATATAATAATTTAATATATTATTATATAATACTTATAATCTGCTTTCTCTTAAATGAGTCTCAAAGCTGCTTACATAGTAATATATATTATATGAATTATATTTATATTTACGTTCTGCTCTCCTAAATTAATCTCAAAGCAGGTTATTATATAATAATATTGTATATAATATTATATATAGTATTTATTATTATATGTTTATATTGTTCTCGTAATTGAACCTCAAAGCAGCATATTATATAATAATATATATATAATGTAATATCATATATATATATATATATGTGTGTGTGTGTGTGTGTGTGTGTGTGTATTTATTTATTTATTTATTTATGGCATTTAGGGGACTCAGAGAGGCTTACAAGATATATTTCCATACAATATATTATATTATTAGCATAGTACAATATCAGTATTATATATTACTATATTGCACTATATCATTATATTGTAATATTATTAGTAATATTACATGTAATGTAAATATATAATTATAATATTGTATTCCTATTACTAATACAAACACTAGAATTCTGCAGGAGGCAGAAAACGGGTTTTAAGTGGATTTTTTTCCTCTAGTGTGATGAGGCCCCAAGTTACTATTAAAATATACAGAAAACTCACAAATGTGGAAAATAAAAAAGTCCTTTACAATAGTTTAAAGTTTGAGTAGACAATTTCTTTAATGCAATTATTTTGTGTCGCTCAAGTAAAGATGAAGGAATACTTTTAGGTTCACAATAAATTATAATATTTCATCGCAAAAAGAGTGTCGATCACAGATTGCCAGTCTCTCTCTGCATTGTATTGTCGAAGGCTTTCATGGCTGGAATCACTGGGTTGTTGTAGGTTTTTTCGGGCTATATGGCCATGGTCTAGAGCAGGGGTCCTCAAACCTTTTAAACAGAGGGCCAGGTCACAGTCCCTCAAACTGTTGGAGGGCCGGATTATAATTTGAAAAAAAAAAAGGATTAATTCCTATGCATACTGCACATCTCTTATTTGTGGTGCAAAACAACTTAAAAACAATACAATAATTAAAATGAACAGTTTTGACAAATATAAACTTATTAGTATTATTAGTATTTCAATAGAAAGTGTGGGCCTGATTTTGGCTGATGAGTAGGATTGTTGTTGTTGTTGTTGTGTGCTTTCAAGTCGTTTCAGACTTAGGTTGACCCTGAGCGAGGGCCGAGTAAATGACCTTGGAGGGCCGTATCCGGCCCCTGGGCCTTAGTTTGGCCATGTTCTAGAGCATTCTCTCCTGATGTTTCGCCTGCATCTATGGCAAGCATCCTCACTACCTCTGAGGATGCTTGCCATAGATGCAGGCAAAACATCAGGAGAGAATGCCTCTAGACCATGGCCATATAGCCCGAAAAAACTACCACAACCCACTCTCTCTGCATTCTCTCCCAATGGATAGCAATGTATATTCTAGAGTTCTTATTACTCCTTCCCTGCAGTGATGACTCCTTTCTTCAACAGCCTTTGCCAGAGAGTAAAATCAAAATATTAACAAAAATAGCATGCTTTAAGTATAGAAGGCACTGTAATACCCAGGAGTCTAGGGGTCCATCTACACTGTAGAATTAATGCACATTGATACCACTTTGATACTGCTCAGTGCTATGGAATTATAAGAGTTGTATTTTTTTCAGCAAGATCTTGAGCCTTCTCCACGAAAGGGTGATGGGGCCTCATCAAACTACAGCTCCCAGGATTGCATTGCATTGATCCATTGCAAAGTGGTGTCAAACTGCATTAATTCTACTGTGTAGCTGCATCCTTTGTGGCTAGCCTATGATTCAAGGACCCAACAATATCTACTGGGATGTGCAGAGTTGTGTTTTTATTTCATTGCTATACAAAATATTTCAAGAAAGGAAGTACATGGATTGGGATCTTTCAAGCTCCGTTCTGCAAGGAAGCTACTGACAAAATAGAGGGATATGTTTATGGTTCAGAAAAACATCCCTGTTAAAGAGTAGATCAAGCTCTGCTCACAAGTGCTGTTATCAGTCCAATCAGTAAATCAATGTGAAAATGGGTACAATCCACAATATCTCTTTTCATAATCTGCATCAATATTGAATCACAGAACGAAGGATACATCTACACTGAAGACAGATTGCGATTTGATACCACTTTAACTGCCAGGGCTCAATGCTGTGGAATCGTGGGTCTTGTAGTTTTACAAAGCCATTCACCCTCTCCAAACTACAGCTCCCAGGAGTCTACAAATCTATAAAATTCTGTGGTTAACTGAAGACCTTGCAAAACTACAATTCCCAAGATCGCATTGCATTAAATCCACGGTGTAGATGCACCCAGAGGCAGCGATAAGACCGACTGAACTTCAAGCCCATCAGGAATCTCCAACAACAAGGAAGGCGGTAAACGGAGCCCAAAGCAAAGTCTTCTCTATTTATTGACGGATTTGGGCCACCATTTGGGGACGGAGGCAACGAGGCTGATGCGGGAATCACTGGGCAACTTGAGATGCAAGGGTTCGTGGACGTGGGCCAACCGCAGCAGCGCTATCCCAAACTCGTCCCCTCCGGCACGGTATTTTCCAGCCGGCTTTCCCGATTCGGATAGTATTTCGGCTCCTTCGGGAAGACCTTCTGGAGGAAGAGGAGACGTGAGCCGTACGGGCAAGAGGCGTTTCCGGATGACACCCATATGGTGGGTCCTGGCCGTTAGCTCCTGGCCAATGTAGCAGCCCTTGGTGAAACTGATGCCATTCAAGTAAGCCACGTTGGACTCCAGAGGCAAGGCAACTCCACAAGGCAGGTCTCTCACTCCTTCGGGGATGCCTGCAACAGCGAGAAGAGCAGAAAGTATTAAACACAGTCTATATCAGGCATGGGCAAGCTTCAACCTTCCAGGTGTTTTGGACTTCAACTCCCACAATTCCTAACAGCTGATGGTATTATTATTATTACTAGATGTACCCACCACACATTGCTGTGGCCAACCTTCCCTCCCTTTTGCTCTCCTCCTTTCTTTCTCTCCTTCCTTCCTTTTTTTCTTTCATTCTCTCCTTCCTTCTCTTCCTCTCCCCTTCCTTTGCCCCCCTTTTTTCCCCTTCCTCTTTCTCCCCGTTCTTTCTTCTTTACCTATTCTTGGACTGCAACTCACAGCAGTCCTCGTGATTGATCTATTTACCTACCTATCTCTATCTAATCTATCTATCTGGAGGATTGCTGGGAGTTGCAGTTCAGGAATAGGAAATTGAAAATATGCAGGGATTGGGGTGCTCAAAGAAATCCAAGCAGAAGAAAGCTTGCAGCTTGGAAGCAGTGCATTTGGATCATCCTCCTCTCCTAAAGGGGATGCTGGGAGCTGTAGTCCAGAAGAAAGTGTGGATATGCTATTGTGTGTTTTGTTTGCCAGGGTGAGTTGTTTTTGTGCATGTGCTGTAGAGAATTGGGTTTTTGGGGGTATTTTTTTGTGCTTTTTTGGCCCTTTAAGTCCCTTCTGTTGTGTTTTTATGAGTGATTGTCACTTGTTGGCCTGATAGGTGTCTTGTGCCCAAATTTGGTGTCAATTAGTCCAGTGGTTTTTGAGTTACGTTAATCCCACAAACAAACATTACATTTTTATTTATATCGATTACTAGTTGTCCCTTGCCACGCGTTGCTGTGGCCCAGTCTGGTGATCTGGAAAATAAAGTAATGAGAAAGTGTTGGTTTCTAATATATGTATTTTCTTTATGCTTGTGGGTAAACAGTATTTCTTGTTCTTTCTTTGTCAGTGTTGATGTGGAGAGTGTCCGGTTTGCCTACTGTGGAATGTGCAACATATAATTGTCCTTCTTTAGAGGTCCCTTTCAAATCTATGATAATATATCTGTGTGTGTGAATCATATCTATCTATCTATATCTATGGCTGGATGGCTCTTTGTCAGGAGGGCTTTGATTACGTTTTCTTGCCCTGGTGAAGGGAGTTGGACTGGATGGCCTTAAGTATTTTCTGTTGGTCATGGGGGTTCTGTGTGGGAAGTTTGCCCCAATTCTGTCATTTGTGGGGTTCAAATGCTCTTTGATTGTAGGTGAACTATAAATCCCAGTAACTACAACTCCCAAATGTCAAGGTCTATTTCCCCCAAACTCCATCTGTGATCATATTTGGACATACGGAGTATTTGTGACAAGTTTGGTTCAGATCCATCATTGTTTGAGTCCATAGTGCTCTCTGGATGTAGGTGAACTACAACTCTCAAACTCAAGGTCAATACCCACCAAACCCTTCTAGTGTTTTATGTTAGCCAGGGGAGTCCTGTGTGCCAAGTTTGGTTCAATTCCATTGTTAGTGGAGTTCAGAATGCTCTTTGATTGTAGGTGAACTATAAATCCCAGCAACTACAACTCCCAAATGACAAAATCATTTTTTTTGAGTGAAGGACATACATTGGGTTGTTAGGTGTCTTGTGTCCAAATTTGGTGTCAATTCGTCCAGTGGTTTTTGAGTTACGTTAATCCCACAAACGAAAATTATATTTTTATTTATATAGATTATTATATTTTTGATACCCCACTTTATCTCTCCAAAGGGGACTCAAAGCAGCTTGACATAAAAGTACTGTTCTGCAGTGGCTCCGGTCCTTCCTTGAAGACGGTTCTCAGAAGGTATTGCTGAGGGACACCTGCTTGACCTCACAACCACTGACTTGTGGAGTCCCCCATGGGTCAATATTGTCCCCTATGTTGTTTAACATTTACATGAAGCTGCCAGGAGAGATTATCTGGAGTTTTGGAGTGAAATGCCATTTCTACGCTGAAAACTCAGCTTATACTTGAGTATATATGGTATATTGCCCTAAATTGTAAGATGCATCCCATTTTTAGAGATGTTTATGGGGAAAATATGTGTCTTAGAATCAAAGAAATAGGGTTACAATAATCATAATAGAATCATAGAGTTGGAAGAGACCTCGTGGGCCATCCAGTCCAATCATCCACAGGTGAGCATGACTTTACCTTGTTTGTACCTGTGCCTATGATAATCCTTCATGTTTCCTATCTGGCTTCCAGGAACGATCTCGAGTGGGTCAGTGCCTTGGCTGGCGATCAACCTCCAACCCATAATATCCACTCGGGGGTCAGGAGTGGCAACCACGACTTTACTAGCGCATTGCTGGAGTTTCTGGGATGCTTCCTCTGAGGGTCCCTCTGGAAGGACAGCCCACAAACAGAGGTCCAGGCAAGGAGTGATGTCAACTTTCCTTCGGATCTTGTACAGTTTCAAATGCTTTTGAAGGGGGTCCAGGGCAGCAGCATCACATTCCAGCAGGAGATGAGGCTCTTCTTGCGAGTTTCTGTGAATCCTGAAAAACATACAAAATCAGGAGAAAACAAAAACTGCTGTTGGAACTGAGCCTTTCCACCCCAAATTCGTCCCCTTCATATGTTGTGGCAGATTCCAGACTTGATTCCTTGTTATTATTTACTTTATTTTTATTCCACTTTTCTCCCAATATAGGGACTGAGGGCCTTTCCCAGTTCATCTCTCTTTTGCCTTCTGCTAAAGTTCTGCTTCCCATAATAGAAGACACAGTGAATTACATTTTCAAAAATAAGAATTGCCTTCCTTGTTTTTTTTTCTGGCTCTGTACTAGTGTACACATGCACTACAGAATCAATGAAGTTTGGCACCACTGCCTTGATTCAATGTTGCGGAATCTTGGGAGTTGTAGTTTTACAAGGTATTTAGCCTCTCCCACCAAAAAGTGCTGGAGCCTTACCAAACTACACCTCCCAGGATTACACAGCATTACGCCTCCCAGGATTACACTCTACCTGGTCACGTCCAGCACTTTTTAACTTTAATTATTACATTTGGCCCTGCCATTGATTTTGACTGCGTCATTGTGTGTTGTGAATGTTATTGCTTTGCTTTTTGAGTTATTTTGCTGTTGCTGTTGTTACTGTTTATACTATTGCATTTGGGCTTGGCCTCTTGTAAGCCGCACCGAGTCCTTCGGGAGATGGTAGCGGGGTACAAATAAAGGTTTTTTTATATTATTATTATTATTATTATTATTATTATTGAGCCAAGGCAGTTAAAGTGGTGTCAAACTGCATTAAGTGTAGGTGTCTTAATGTTGTAGCGTTTTTGCTGTGTTTATGTATTTTAACGATGTTGTAACCTGCTTCGAGCCATGAGGAGAGGCGGGCAAGAAATACAATAAAATTGTTGTTATTTATACCTTGCTTTTTCTCTCCACCAAAGAGATGTAATCTGCTGTTGCTCCCTGCCTCAATCCATGGAGAGAGGAATAAAACAATGATTAGTAATAGTACAAAATGGGATTTTTTAAAATCATTTTAATGGTGTGTGTATGTATTTATGTATGTATGTATATATGTGTGTGTATATATATTAGACATTAATTTTTATAGTTTCAATTGGTTTTATATGGATTTTTATTATGTGATATTACATGTTTTTGTTGATATGTATGTATGTTAATAGCATCTTAATTTTTTGCCAATCTGTATGCCGCCCTAATCGCCTTCGGGCTGAAAAGAGCAGGATAAAAATGCTGTAAATAAATAAACTATATATATATATACTAGCCTTCCCCTGCCACGCCTTGCTGTGGCCCGCTCTGGTGGTCATGGGGGTTCTGTGTGGGAGGTTTGGCCCAATTCTATCATTGGTGGGGTTCAGAATGCTCTGTGATTGTAGATGAACTATAAATCCCAGCAACTACAACTCCCAAATGCCAAGATTCTATTTTCCCCAAACTCCACCAGTGTTCATATTTGGGCATATTGAGTATTCGTTTAGCGTTTGGTCCAGATCCATCATTGTTAGTCCACAGAGGTCTCTGGATGTAGGTGAACTACAACTCCCAAACTCAAGGTCAATGCCCACCAAACCCTTCTAGTCTTTTCTGTTGGTCATGGGAATCCTGTTTGTCACCTTTGGTTCAATTCCATCATTGGTGGAGTTCAGAATGCTCTTTGATTGTAGGTTAACTATAAATCCCAAGAACTACAACTCTCAAATGACAAAATCATTTTTTTTTGAGTGAAGGACATACATTGGGTTGTTAGGTGTATGCTGTCCAAATTTGGTGTCAATTCATCCAGTGGTTTTTGAGTTCTGTCAATCCCACAAACGAATATTACATTTTTATTTATTTTTATTTTTATTATATATTTATTTATTTACTTTATTTGTATACCGCTCTTCTCAGCCAATTAGGCGACTCAGAGCGGTTAACAACAAGTAGCGGCAAAAATTCAATGCAAACATCGTACAGTCGTTTAAAAGACAATTAACACAATAATACAATAAGAATTAACATCAATAACCATCAGTAAACATCAATAAACAACTCACTGGCATCTCATAACTAAATATACATATATACAGACATATATATATATATATATATATATATATATATATAACTAAATATACATATATATATATATATCGAGAGAAAAAATTACTTCTAAAATTAGAAATTGATCAGGGTGTATCCACTTTGGGGGCAAGCTAATTTCTAAGCTTGGCTTCCCTTGCATTAGATCCCCCAGTGTTGTTAACCTGCATCACAAGCACGGCTGGCGGGGACAAGGGACAGGTCCTTCTCTGTGGTGGCCCCTCGGCTGTGGAACGCCCTTCCCATGGACATTAGATCAGCCCCTTCGTTAATGGTGTTTCGAAGGAAACTAAAAACCTGGCTGTTTGAACAGGCGTTCGGATAAACAGTGCAATGTACACGATGAATATAGGAAACGGAATTATGGAAGACGAATTGGATCACGATTCTAGTTATGAGACGTTAATGTGTCGTTATTGATGTGTCATTTTGTATATTACGCTGTTAATGGTTTTTAAATTTGTATGCTGTTGGATTGGCTTTTGCTCTTGTTGTAAGCCGCGTTGAGTCGCCTACAAGGCTGAGAAATTGCGGTATACAAGCAAAGTAAATAAATAAATAAATAAATCACCTTGATTTGGTTTCAATGGCTTGGAAGTGCCTGGGGGAAATCTTTTGTTGAGAGTGATTTTATGTGCCTGTTTGTTTCCCCTCTGTTGTTTTGCTGTTGTAAAACAACAGCACCCAGTGATTCCGGCCATGAAAGCCTTCGACAATACATTGAATATTATATTATTTATATATGTATGTGTGTGTGTGTGTGTCAAGAAAAAAAATACTTCTAAAATTAGAAATTGATCAGGGTGTATCCACTTTGGGTGCAAGCTAATTTATAAGCTTGGCTCCCCTTGCATTAGATCCCTCAGTACAAAAAAACCCAAGCCAAGTGGACATGCCAACTCTGTTTAGCATCTCTCTCAATTTCTCACCTGTACAGCATGACGTCATAGAGGCAGCGCCCCTGGACGTTGAGCGCATGCGCGTAGAGCGCTCGTGGCGTGGTTAGAGAAGCCCCGCCCCCCTCCTGCGTCAAGAGCGTCACGTCGTTCGTCATCAGCCCTTGGAGGAAGGTCGCCGCCTCCGGGCCTCGGAGCCGTAGCAGTGCCCGGCTCTCCAGCGGGAAGCAGGTGGTCGCCACGGTGGCCGCTTGGTTGTCTCCCTTTTCTCCGCTCAGCTTCCTCTCTCCGCTCCGGAGGCCCAAGCGGAGGGAGAGAGCCCTCCGCAGCGCCGCGCTCGCCCTCACCAACATGGCGGCGCTCGGAGAAAGCGAGTTGTCTTTCACCCCGCACGCATCTTGGCTGAGGAGACGAGTTGCGCCGACTGCGCAGGCGCATCAACATCTTCGCTAAGGGAGGCGGGACTATCCCCGTTCTTGGCTTCTTATTAGTCGAGGTGCCTGCCTGTTTTTCCGTGGCCACGGCCTCTCAAAGTTTCCCAAGCTCTGGCCTTCAGGGGCTTTGGGGACTTCAGTTCCCAGAGTTCCTTGGAATTGGAAAACACCTGGAGGGAGGACCCAAGTTGGCCCAAGCTTGGTTTAAGAGTTTCCAAGAAGGAGCTTCCACTGGACCCTGAGGCAGAGAGTTCCACTGCTGAACAGCTTTTTCTTAGTCAGGAAGTTCAGCTAGAATCTCCTCTGGAGGGAGGACCCAAGTTGGCCCAAGTCTGGTTTAAAGGTTTCCAAGAAGGAGTTTCCACTGGACCCTGAGGCAGAGAGTTCCACTGGTGAACAGCTTTTCTTAGTCAGGAAGTTCAGCTAGAATTTCCTCTGGAGGGAGGACCCAAGTTGGCCCAAGCTTGGTTTAAGAGTTTCCAAGAAGGTGCTTCCACCGGACCCTGAGGCAGAGAGTTCCACTGGTGAACAGCTTTTCTTAGTCAGGAAGTTCAGCTAGAATCTCCTCTGGAGGGAGGACCCAAGTTGGCCCAAGCTTGGTTTAAGAGTTTCCAAGAAGGTGCTTCCACTGGCCCCTGAGGCAGAGAGTTCCACTGGTGAACAGCTTTTCTTAGGAAGTTCAGGTAGAATCTCCTCTCCTGTAATTAGAACTCATGGCTCTATTGAGTCCTAGTTTCAAGGGCAGCAGAAAACAAGCCTGTTGCTCTTCCTTGTGACACCCTTTCCCATATTTATCCATGGCTTTCCTGTCTCAACTTTCTCTTCTGCAGGCTAAACAGACCCAGTTCTTTAGGACGCTCCTCATAGGGATTCATCATCTCCAGACCTTTGATCCTTTGAGTCGCCCTCTTCCTCTGGACGCCTTCCAGTTTAAGAGTCAATATCCCCATTGAACTGTGGGACTCAGAACTGGACACGTTGTGATTTTGAGATCAAAGGTAACCCCTCTCCCCCAGGACTCAGTAAAAGATGGTTCAAAATCAGGGAATTCATAGTTTTGCCAAGGACAACAGGCTGGGATGATCCCACAATCCCCTATCTCTCCCCCATGTGGGAACCTAAGGTAGAGTTAGATAAATAAGGATAAGATTAGTCTGGTTTCCCCAATATCATAATTATTTCATTAATCAGGAGCCCCCGATGGCGCAATTGGTCAAACCCTTGTGCCGGCTGGGCTGAAGACAGACAGGTTGGAGGTTTGAATCCGGTTATTTATTTGTTGTGTCAGGGCAACCAGTCAATTATGTTACATTTCTAACAGAACAAAGCAAACAAACAGACAAAATACAAAATTTGTGAGTTTGGTAGTTGATTAAATGTCCTTTGACCAGTATCTGGCCCCTTGGAGTGCTTCTGGTGTTGCTGCAAGAAGGTCCTCCCTTGTGCATGTGGCAGGGCTCAGGGTGCATTGCAGCAGGTGGTCAGTGGTTTGCTCTTCTCCACACTCGCATGTCGTGGATTCCACTTTGTGGCCCCATTTCTTGAGGTTGGCTCTGCATCTCGTGGTGCCAGAGCGCAGTCTGTTCAGCGCCTTCCAAGTCGCCCAGTCTTCTGTGTGCCCAGGGGAGAGTCTCTCATCTGGTATCACCCATGGATTGAGGTGCTGGGTTTGAGCCTGCCACTTTTGGACTCTCGCTTGCTGAGGTGTTCCAGCGAGTGTCTCTGTAGATCTTAGAAAACTATTTCTAGATTTAAGTCATTGACGTGCTGGCTGATACCCAAACAGGGGATGAGCTGGGGATGTCTCTGCCTTGGTCCTTTCACTATTGGCTGCTACTTCCCGGTGGATGTCAGGTGGTGCAATACCGGCTAAGCAGTGTAATTTCTCCAGTGGTGTAGGGCGCAGACACCCCGTGATAATGCGGCATGTCTCATTAAGAGCCACATCCACTGTTTTAGTGGTGAGATGTGTTCCACACTGGGCATGCATACTCAGCAGCAGAGTAGCACAGCGCAAGGGCAGATGTCTTCACTGTATCTGGTTGTGATCCCCAGGTTGTGCCAGTCAGCTTTCGTATGATATTGTTTCTAGAACCCACTTTTTGCTTGATGTTCAGGCAGTGCTTCTTGTAGGTCAGAGAACGGTCCAGAGTGACTCCCAGGTATTTGGGTGCGCTGCAATGCTCCAGTGAGATTCCTTCCCAGGTCATCCTCAGAGCTCGGGATGCTTGTCTGTTCTTAAAGTGAAAGGCGCATGTCTGTGTTTTAGATGGATTAGGGATCAGCTGGTTTTCCCTGAAATAGGCAGTAAGAGCACCTAGAGCTTCGGTGAGTTTCTGTTCAACCATCTCAAAGCTCCCTGCTTGAGCAGTAATGGCACGATCATCAGCATAGATGAAACTCTCTGTCCCTTCTGGCAGTGGCTGGTCATTTGTGTAGATGTTGAACATGGATGGAGCAAGCACGCTCCCCTGAGGCAGGCCGTTCTTCTGTTTCCGCCATCTGCTTCTCTGGCCCTGAAACTCAACAAAAAAGCTCCTGTTTTGTAGCAGGTTTCCTATGAGGCGGGTGAGGTGGTAGTCCTTTGTGATATTATACATTTTTCTCAGGAGGAGGCGGTGGTTCACAGTATCATAAGCCGCTGCCAGGTCTATGAAGACAGCTCCTGTGATCTGCATTTGAATTTGAATTTGAGATACACTCTATGCTTCTTTGCAAGAGCATAACGCAGTCTTTCAAGTACTCATCAGACTACAATCTCGCATCAGCAGGGATTGTGGCACAGCTGGCTGAGTTTCAGCTGCATTAAGATCACTCTGACCAAAAGGTCATGAGTTTGAAGCCAGCCCGGGTTGGAGTGGGTTTCCAACCAATTGTGTAGCCTGTTGTCGACCTTTGCAACCCGACAGACAGTTGCATCTGTCAAGTAGGAAAATTAGGTACCACCTTAAAGTGTGGGGAGGCTAAATTAACTAATTTATGAGACCATAAAAAAGACTCCAGCAAAAGCATGCAGGGAATGCGGAAGTACTTCCATCAGCATCGCAGGTGGATAATGAAAGCGACAGCTCCCCTGGCAGCCAGAAAAAGTTAAAAATAGCCTCTGTGTATGTCTGTATATGTTGTATGTCAAAATTGGCATTGAATGTTTGCCATATATGTGTACCCTGAGTCCCCTGCGGGGTGAGAAGGGCGGAATATAAATGCTGTAAATAAAAATAAATAAATGCTACATTTTTACAGAGTTTACAGACACGATCAGTCTTGCAAGAGACCAAGAAAACACACGCACTTTATTTATTTTATTTTATTAGTTCTGTCATCCTAAGTACAATCAGGCCATAACATTTACTCCCCGAAAAATATTTACAGAGACAAGAGTCAATTTCACACTCAACAGGTTTCTCATACAAGTTAGTACAAAAGACAAACAAAACAAGACATGTCCCCCCCCCCCAAAAAAAAAAAAAACCACACAATGGAAACTTCATAACAACAGATTTATTATATGGACATTTTGTTACTTTCAAGTATTTTCCAGTGGAATGGAATGTGAGTGAGAGATTCATTTTGTTGTGGGTTGCTGTAGGTTTTCCAGGCTGCGTGGCCATGTTCCAGAAGCATTCTCTCCTGACGTTATGCCCACATCTATGGCAGGCATCCTCAGAGGTTGTGAGGTCTGTTGGAAACTAGGCAAGTGAGATATATATCTGTGGAATAATGTCCAGGGTGGGAGAAAGAACTCTTGTCTGCTCGAGGCAGGTGTAAATGTTGCAGTTGGCCACCTTGAAAAACACTTAAGAGCCTTGTAGCTTCAAAGCCTGTCTGCTTCCTGTCTGGAGACATCCTTTGTTGGGACGTGTTAGCTGGTCCTGATTTATTATTGTCTGGAATAGTGTTGCTTTTTATTTGCTGTCCTGATTCTAGAGTTTTTTTTAAAATACCAGTAGCCAGATTTTGTTCATTTTCATGGTTTCTGTTGAAATTGTCCACAAGCTTGTGGCGGGGGTGAATATTGCAATTGGCCACCTCGACTAGCATTTAATGGCCTTGCAGCTTCAAAGCTTGGCTGCTTCCTGGCTGGAGGCATCCTTTGTTGGGAGGTGTTAGCTGGCCCTCATCTTGTCTGGAATTCCCGTTTTCTGAGTGTTGCTCTTTATTTACTTTCCTGATTCTAGAGGGTTTTTTTAAATACTAGTAGCCAGATTTTGTTCATTTTTCATGATTTCCTCCTTCCTGTTGAAATTGTTTTCATGCTTGTAGCATGGTCACCTCAACTAGCATTTAATGGCCTTGCCGCTTCAAAGCCTGGCTGCTTCCTGCCTGGAGGCATGTTTTGTTGGGAGGTGTTAGCTGGCCCTCATTTATTCTTGTCTGGAATTCCCCTGAGTGTTGCTCTTTATTTACTTTCCTGATTCTAGAGATTTTTTTTAATACTAGTAGCCAGCTTGGCTGCTTCCTGCCTGGAGGCATCTTTTGTTGGGATGTGTTAGCTGGCCCTCATTTATTCTTGTCTGGAATTCCCCTGTTTTCTGAGTGTTGCTCTTTATTTACTTTCCTGATTCTAGAAGTTTTTTTTAATACTAGTAGCCAGATTTTGTTCATTTTCATGGTTTCCTCCTCAATTGGTCTCCTCGATTAGCATTTAATGGCCTTGCAGCTTCAAAGCTTGGCTGGTTGCTGCCTGGGGGGGGGGTTCCAGACATGAATCAATCAAGGCCAGCTAACACCTTGATTCATAGAATCAAAGAGTTGGAAGAGACCTCATGGGCCATCCAGTCCAACCCCATTCTGCCAAGAAGCAGGAATATTGCATTCAAATCACCCCTGACAGATGGCCATCCAGCCTCTGTTTAAAAGCTTCCAAAGAAGGAGCCTCCACCACGATCTGGGGCAGGGAGTTCCACTGCTGAACAGCTCTCACCGTCAGGAAGTTCTTCCTCGTGTTCAGATGGAATCTCCTCTCTCCTCCCAAAAAAGCATTCCCCCAGGCAGCAACCAGCCAGGCTTTGAAGCTGCAAGGTCATTAAAAGGTCCTACCACAGTGGTTCTCAACCTGGGGTCCCCAGATGTTGTTGGCCTACAACTCCCAGAAATCCTAGCCAGTTCACCAGCTGTTAGGATTTCTGGGGGTCCCCAAAAACATCTGGGGACCCCAGGTTGAGAACCACTGTCCTACCAGATATATCCTACCTTGTTCATGCCCAGCGTTTATTTTTTAAATTTTAAATCCTCGTGTTATTGTTTATATGTGATTTATATTAATTTTTGTATTGCATTGTATTGTTTTGTTCATGGGTTTCCTGTTTTATTGATGTGTTGTTGGTCTTGGCCTCATGTAAATCGCTCCGAGTCCCTTGGGGAGATGGTGGCGGGGTATAAATAAATTATTATTATTATTATTATTATTATTATTATTATTATTATTATTATTAAAAGCAGGCAAGAGTTCTTTCTCCCACCATGGACATTCTGTGGCTATATAAACCTCACTTGCCTATATATCTCACAACCTCTGAGGATGCCTGTGATTCCAGCCCATGAAAGCCTTCGACAACTCACTTGTTCTGTTTGGATTTTGGATGTGAAACCAATTGAAAACATTGTCAACAGTGGCAACTTCCAAGATGAAAGTCTAGGAACAACACAAAGGATGTCTTTGGGGCAGGTTTCCCACTATCTGAACTATAATTCCCAAACTTCCAAGGGATCGCTTGCTGACTATAGGAAAATTATAGGCAAAACCAAAAACCCTCTCTTCCTTTTTCGAAGGAGTTGCCAAAGGATTTATCTCTACTGAAACACAAGCCGGAGAGAAGACTTCCTCCACCATCCAAGCCAACACCCTACCATTTATCACAATGGGGCAGAAGGCTTTTATCAGTTCTTCCCCTCCATTTTAGAATGGGAAATTAGTTTATTGTCCCTGCTCAAAATAGGGTTTTTCTCCCTGGGTTACTGTGAGTTTTTCCGGGCTGTATGGCCATATTCCAGAAGCATTCTCTCCTGACGTTTTGCCCACATCTATGGCAGGCATCCCCAGAGGTCTGTTGGAAACTAGGCAAAGGATGTTTTATATATCTGTGGAATGATGTCCAGGGTGGGAGAAAGAACTCTTGTCTGTTGGAGGCAAGTGTGAATGTTGCAATTAGCATAGAATAGCCTTGTCGCTTCAAAGCCTGGCAGCTTTCTGCCTGAGGGAAACCTTAGAATCATAGAATCAAAGAGTTGGAAGAGACCTCATGGGCCATCCAGTCCAACCCCATTCTGCCAAGAAGCAGGAATATTGCATTCAAATCACCCCTGACAGATGGCCATCCAGCCTCTGTTTAAAAGCTTTGTTGGGAGGTGTTAGCTGGCTACCAGTATTAAAAAATACTCTAATATCAGGACACTGAATAAAGAGCAATACTCGAAAAGCAGGGGAATTCCAGACAAGAATCAATCAAGGTCAGCGAACACCTCCCAACAAAGGATTCCCCCAGGCAGCAACCAGCCAGGCTTTGAAGCTACAAGGCCATTTAATTCACAGAAGGCCCAGACAACTTGACCAACAGTTAGGAATTCATTTAATGGCCTTGAAAATGAACAAAATCAGGCCACCAGTATTTAAAAAAACCTCTAAAATCAAGACAGTAAATAAAGAGCAACAGTCGAAAAGCAAGGGAATTCCAGACAAGAATCAATCAAGGTCAGCGAACACCTCCCAACAAAGGATTCTCCCAGGCAGCAACCAGCCAGGCTTTGAAGCTACAAGGCCATTTAATTCAGAGAAGGCCCAGGCAACTTGACCAACAGGAATTCATTTAATGGCCTTGAAAATGAACAAAATCAGGCCACCATTATTTAAAAAACACTAAAATCAAGACAGTAAATAAAGAGCAACAGTCAAAAAGCAAGGGAATTCCAGACAAGAATCAATCAAGGCCAGTTAATCACCTCCCAACAAAGGATTCCCCCTGGCAGCAACCAGCCAGGCTTTGGAACTACCAGGCCATTAAATGGCAATGCAGCTTCAAGGCTTGGCTGCTTCCTGCCTGGGGTGAATCCTTTGTTGGGAGGTGATTCGCTGGCCCTGATTGTTTCTTGTCTGTCACAGAAATGCTGGACCACTTTTAACAACCACCACGTCAGACTACACAGAGAAACCATTGAACTCCACAAGGAGCATGTGGACAATTTCAACAGGAAGAGGAAGCCATGAAAATCTGACTACCAGTATTAAAAAACTCTTAAAAAACAGGACAGTAAATAAAGAATAATACTAAAAAAACAGGGGAAATCCAGACAAAAAACAATCAGGGCCAGCTAACACCTCCCAACAAATTATCCCCCCCAGGCAGGAAGCAGCTAAGCTTTGTAGCTGCAAGGCCATTCAGTGGTAATCAAGGTGGCCAATTGCAACATTCACACTTGCCTCCGGCAGACTATGGACATTATTCCACACTTGCCTAGTTTCCAACAGGCCTCACAGCCTCTGAGGATACCTGCCATAGATGTGGGCAAAACGTCAGGAGAGAATGCTTCTGGAACATGGCCAGACAGCCCGGAAAATTCACAGCCAGCCAGCGATTCTGGCCATGAAAGCCTTCGACAACACTAAAGCAAAAACAGTGCATTCCTATTATCCATTCTGATATGGAGAACACAGCTGCAAAGCTGCATTCGTTTTGAGACCCATCATGGCATAATGGCTTGGCTATGACTTTGAACACTAACGTTTGAATCTTTTCAAGGCCATAGGAAATCAATGGGTCATGCTCTCTCAGCCTCAGAGCAAAGCAAAAGCAACCTTTGACTAAATCTCGCCAAAAATGGCCCATAATAGAGTCGCCGTAAGTCAGAAATGACTAGCATACAACAACAAAGCATCTACTTTTGCATTTTATTCATTATTATGTGGGTTAAATTCAGAAATTTGGGGTCATATTGATGTATCCAAGCACTGCCTCTGATGCTGATCAATAAGATCAATACATTAACAGTGGTTATAGCCTATTGATTACCGTATCAAAACAATACCCAAATCCAAGCCTGCCGATATGCATGATATGATTTACTTGTCAAAAGAAAAGTTGTCTCTAAAATAAGGAATCTCCTATTTGTGTAAACTGGAACAATATTATATTAGCTCTACTTCGATCACTCATTATTTTAATTCTCCCAATGCTTTATTATTGGGGTTAAGGGCACAGAACCCCTCTGAAAGGGGAAAGAACACAAATAAGTCGCTTATCTTTATGTCAGAGGAGACTTCCTTCCAAACAGGCCCTATATCCCAGGTTTTCTGGATTTAAACTGAATTATGTGAGTCCCCACTGCCAGATAATCTGGGATAAACAGAATACTTTGGATCAGATCCTGGGACTTCCAGTATTTTGCCCAGACATGGACCAACTTGGGCCCTCCAGGTGTTTTGGACTCCAACTCCTACAATTCCTAACAGCCGGTAGGCTGTTAGGAATTGTGAGAGTTGGAGTCCAAAACACCTGGAGGGCCCAAGTTGGCCCATGCCTGATTTAATCCCTTTTGGGGGAAATGTCTCCCCAAATTCCTGACTGTGATATTGGGATGACGCTAACAAGAGCTTTTATTCCACAGGAGCCATTTGTCTCTCATCATGTTAGCACCAATCTGCCTTCACAACCAAAATACTACAAGTCACTCATAATATTACTTAAAGGCACTTTAGGGTCTAGGATGTGTTCGAGCCACGTTTGCACCAAAAGTCAAGGGAACAGGAACAGTTTACAACACATTCCACCAAATAAACAAAGACGGCACATGAGTCTTAGATCCTTGAGAGCTTCTCGGTAAAGCACAAAAGCATCAACACGCCACATAGATCTAAAGTTGCAACTCCACTGATACCAACGATTCAGGACTTCAGCCTTTTCCTTGCAAGTTCGCTCCTGATCTAGGGAAGCCATCACATCATTGCAAGAGGACCATGCATCCATGTTAGTGTCCCCTTTCCAAAATGCAGAGGTTGTGATTTTGTGCTTCCACCCAGTTACACAAAAATGGCACATGGGTCTTAGATCTTTGAGTGCTTCTCAGCAAAGCACAAAAGCATAAACACGCTGCACATGTCTAAATTTGCAGTTCCACCAATACCAACGATGCAGGATACGTCTAAAGTTGCAACTCCACTGGTTCCCAAGATGCAGGACTTCTGCCTCCTTCTTGCAGGCTCACTCCTGATCTAGGGAAGCCATCACATCATTGCAAGAGGACCATGCATCCATGTTAGTGTCCCCTTTCCAAAATGTAGAGGTTGTGATTTTGTTCTTCCACCCAGTTAAAACAAAGATGGCACATGGGTCTAAGATGCTTGAGTGCTTCTCAGCAAAGCAGCAAAGCATAAACACGCTGCACACATCTGAAGTTGCAACTCCACTAGTGCCCAAGATGCAGGACTTCGGCCTCCTCCTTGCAGGCTCACTCCTGATCTAGGGAAGCCATCACATCATTGCAAGAGGACCATACCTCCATGTTAGTGTCCCCTTTCCAAAATGCAGAGGTTATGATTTTGTGCTTCCACCAATTAAAGATGGCACATGGGTCTTAGATGCTTAAGTGCTTCTCAGCGAAGCACAAAAGCATAAACACGCTGCACATGTCTAAATTTGCAGCTCCACCAATACCAATGATGCAGGACACGTCCAAAGTGGCAACTCCACTGGTGCCCAAGATGCAGGACTTTGGCTTCCTCCTTGCAGGCTCACTCCTGATCTAGGGAAGCCATCATATCATTGCAAGAGGACCATGCATCCATGTTAGTGCCCCATTTCCGAAATGCAGAGGTTATAATTTTGTGCTTCCACCAATTAAACAAAGATGTCACATGGGTCTTAGATCCCTGAGCGCTTCTCAGAGAAGCACACAAGCATAAACACGCTGCACATGTCTAAATTTGCAACTCCACTGGGACCCAAGATGCAGGGCTTTGGCCTCCTCCTTGCAGGCTCACTCCTTATGTAGGGAAGCCATCACACTATTGCAAGAGGACCATAGATCAATGTTAGTGCCCCATTTCCAAAATACAGAGGTTGCAAGCACAATCAATAATTCAGAGTAAGATACTACAGTAATGTCTGCCAGTGGGCCATCTTCCACATGAGGAGTTAGACATTAAGAAAATGTTATTTGACAAAACTTTGGAAAGCACACAGCAAGAGGGTAACTGGCGGAGGCCTCCAAATGCATGGGGGGGAGGGGACAGGATTAAAGGGCGAAGGGCCATCTTGGGTTGGGCCAAATTTCCACAACAGGAGAGGGCCCAATACATGGTCATCTCTCCCTTTCAGCTCCCAGCTTTGAGAGAGAGGTGGAAGTATAGGGCGGTTGCCACTGGAAGAATTGCAAATACAAACCCCAGTGTATGTATCACTAAGATGTTGGGGAACTGGATGAGCCAAAAGGTATCAGAGGAAAGGGATAATCACTGCATATACTCATGTATAAGTCTAGAAATTATAGTCCAAAAAGGAAACTGAGTCGACTTATCCACGGGTCAGTGGAAGTACTGCAACTTTTATCCAAAATGTGGCGACTGGCCCCATGAGGAGACATTGGTGCTTTCCCCTCAGACTTTCAATTTATCAACAAGTCCTATCAAAATCCTTAATTTTGGCCCCCAAACCTCCTCTCGAGTTATAAGAGGTCGACTTATGCATGAGCGTGCATGGTGCAATAAAATATAGGCATCATAAAGAGAACAGATGAAGAGCAAGGAGGGAAGCAAAGGAAAATCAGCCAGACGAAGGGAAACACACTGAATGCAACCAGTGTGTAAGTGAGTGGCAGTCCCTGATTCCTGCAAGGAAATTATTAGGGAGTTTCTGTGCTTTCTTGGCAAGAGGGAAGGGATTTCTCTCCTGAAATTTCAAGTCAGAGAACAATATTTGCAACCGCACCCCACAAGTTCCACCCTGAGAGAACGATAATAAACACCAAGGACAAAATCCTTAAGGAGTTAACCTTTTGGAGTTAGCACAAAATGACCAACAAGTCCCCTCGTGTCCAGACGCTGAGCTCTGTGCACCCGGGAGCAGAATGTGGATGTAGGGAGAGGCCTTTCCTGAACCAACCAGGGAGCATTGCTCCAACACATTGCTGGCAAACATTGGGTAGACGTTTCGACCTTCGAAAGCAACCCAAAGCTCTCTGGAAGGAATCCTGTTCCAGCGACAAGACAGCTCCAGCTCCTGCTTTGCCTATATCAAGTTTATTATATCCAGACAGAGTTTTTCCCATCTTTGCCGTTGGAACTACCTCTCTCCGAACCAGCTTTAGGCTTGGCCCCTTGTTTCTCCTGGGCTGTGTTGGCCCTGTTCTGCTCTGCCATTGTCCCGCCGGATGCAGGACTGCTGGTCCTCGAGGGCTGCCCATTCCCCTGAGTCCCATTGTAGCTCTGGAAGGCAATGTCCAGCTGCTCTTGAGCCACCCGCAAGTGTTTATGGAGCGTGGACAAATCTGGGGGAATGTTCTCATCAGGGCTGGTGCACTGCTGCTCCTGAGCGACGTTGGCCAAGTTCTGCTCGTGGGCCATCAAGCTGTTGGGCACCTTGCCCTGCTTGTCCGATTTCACCACCAGATTGTACTCCGGCGGGCAGGAGATGTTCTTGGGGTAGGCGGCATAGTTGTAGGGCGGTTGCCGGAAACTGTGGATCTTCCGCTCTCGGATGGCGTCCCGGATAGTGCCGATGCCCAAGTGGCACATCTCGGCCAGGTTGAGGAGCAAGCAAAGGCAGCTGACGACGTACATCACCAGAAGGAAGATGGTCTTCTCCGTCGGCCGGGACACAAAGCAGTCGACATCGTGAGGGCAAGGCTCTCGGGTGCAAAGGTAATACGGTGTGACTTCGAAGCCGTAAAGCATGTACTGCCCGATCAAGAAGGCCACTTCGAACGAGGCTCGGGTGAGGAGCTGGAAGACGTAGATCTTCATCAGGCCCTCCTCCTGGATATGTCTCCTGCCGTCGTGCTTCTTCTGCTCCTTCCTCTCCTCCTTGGCTTTGGCTTTCTCTTCCATCTCCACAATCTCATCGGCGATCATGGGCTCCTCCTCTTCAGCTCCCAAGGGGTCTTCCAGGTTGCGGACGGCTTGCCAGTTGAGCGCAAACTGCTTCTTCCGCTTGAAGCCCCGGAACCTTTTCTTCTCCTCTTCTGAGGACCTGGCGATCCTGTGGATGGCGTAGCCCAAGTAGATGACCGACGGCGTGGAGATCATGATGATCTGGAAGACCCAGAACCGGACATGGGAGAGCGGCGCAAAGGCGTCATAGCAGACGTTGTCACAACCGGGCTGCTTGGTGTTGCAAGTGAACTTGCTCTGTTCGTCCGAATAGATGGACTCGCCCCCGACGGCCGTCAGGACGATGCGGAAGACGATCAGGACGGTCAGCCAGATCTTCCCCACAAACGTGGAGTGGTTGTGAATTTCTTCTAGTAGGCGGGTTAGGAAGCTCCAGCTCATGTTGGTCATAGGGGCTAATCATTTATAACCTGCACAAAAGACAAGAGAAGTTGGAACATTAATTGTCCACTGTGTATTTATTTACTTATTTACTACATTTATATACCGCTTTTATCCCCCTGAGGGAACTCAAAGCAATTTCCAACATAATAAAGGCAAAATGCAATGCCATACATCAGTGTTTGTCAACCTGGGTGTCAGGACTCCTGACACGAGGGGGTGTCAGGGGGATCACCAAAGACCATTAGAAAGCAAAATATTTTCTGTTGGTCAAGGAGGTTCTATGTGGGAAGTTTGGCCCAATTCTATCATGGGTGGGTTTCAGAATGCTCTTTGATTGTAGGTGAACTATAAATCCCACCAACTACAACTCCCAAATGTCAAGGTCTATTTTCCCCAAACTCCACCAGTGTTCACATTTGGGCATATTGAGGATTCGTGCCAAGTTTGGTCCGGATCCATCATTGTTTGAGTCCACAGTGCTGTCTGGATATAGGTGAACTACAACTCTAAAACTTAAGGTCAATGCCCACCAAACCCTTCCAGTATTTTCTGCTAGTCATGGGAATTCTGTGTGTCAAATTTGGTTCAATGACATCGTTGGTAGAGTTCAGAATGCTCTTTGATTGTAGGTGAACTATAAATCATACCAACTACAACTCCCAAATGTCAAGATCTATTTTGCCCAAACTCCAGCAATGTTCACATTTGGGAATATCAAGCATCCGTGCCAAGTTTGGTCCTGATCCATCATTGTTTGAGCCCGTAGTGCTCTCTGGATGTAGGTGAACAACAACCTCCAAACTCAAGGTCAATGTCCACCAGATCTTTCCAGTATATTCTGTTGGTCATGAGAGTTCTGTGTGCCAAGATTGGTTCAATTCCATTGTTGGTGGAGTTCAGAAGGCTCTTTGATTGTAGGCGAACTATAAATCCCAGCAACTACAACTTCCAAATGACAATATTAATCCCCCCCAATCCCACCAGTATTCAAATTTGGGCGTAACAGGTAAAAGGGAAAGGCGTACGGCAGGGTTGTATACTCTCACCCAAACTATTCAGCTTGTATACAAAACACATCATGCGATGTGCTTGACAAATCCAAGGCTGGAGTTAAAATTGCTGGAAGAAACGTTAACAGCCTTAGATAGGCAGATGATACCACTTTGATTGCTGAAATCAAGGAGGAGCTTTTTAACCAAGGTGAAAGAAGAATCGCACCAGTATTCAAATTTGGGTGTATCAGGTATTTGGTCCAGTGAATGAAAATACATCCTGCAGATCAGATATTTACATTACGATTCATAGCAGAAGCAAAATTATAGTTATGAAGTAGCAACGAAAAATAATGTTATGGTTGGGGGTCACCACCACATAAGGAATTGTATTTAGGGGTCACGGCATTAGGAAGGTCGAGAACCCCTGCGCTAAATGATTATAATTGTGCAACACAAATTAGCTATCACAGTGCGCAAGATGGGACTGCTAACTACGACTGATGTAAAACACACATGCATAATGAATAGTGCAAAGGACTGCATTATTGTATGAAAAGTAGTGTTGATGATGTAAACATGTCATTGTAAAATCATGAATTATGTATGGGTGGCTTTGTACAAGCCATGACTAATGGTCACCAACTGAATTGCTTCTCTCTACGGTTTATTTAAGAAAAAAACCTTGTTGTCCAGAGTGGGTTCAAGTGGCAAATGCTTTTTGGAGACGTGCAATAGATTGCCCATTGTTGCCTTTCAAACTAGCCATGCATTGCTTCCAATGTTGTCTCTCTGGGGAGGGGAAAATCAGGATCTTTTCTTCCTACGCAGCCCTTCCAATATCATGTTGAAACCCACAGATCCTTCACCTGTATATTGCTAAGGAAAAGTCAGAAAATTAGCCATCTTGAACGCCAAATGTGCAACTTTCAAGGACTGTTTCCATCTTGCGTCTTATAGTGCATCGATAGAGTGAATGCGGCCATAATTCAATGCATTCAGAAGAAGACCTACAAGCCACTCTAAACACCTTTGCAGAAGTATACGAGAAGCTCGGCCTGATGACAACAACATGTTATAGAACTCCAATATGCTGATGACAACATCGTCTGTGCACATTCAGAAGAAGACCTACAAGCAACTCTAAAAACCTTTGCAGAAGCATATGAGAAACTCGGCCTGATGACAATAACATGTTATAGAACTCCAATATGCTGATGACAACATCATCTGTGCACAGTCAGAAGACCTCCAAGCCACTCTAAACATCTTTGCAGAAGTATACGAGAAGCTTGGCATGATGACAACAGCATCTGTTATAGAACTCCAATATGCTGATGACAACATCATCTGTGTGCATTCAGAAGAAGACCTACAAGCCACTCTAAACACCTTTGCAGAAGAATACGAGAAGCTCAGCCTCGCTCTGAACATCGAGGAAACCAAAGTGCTCTTCCAGCAGTCACCAGCCAATCCCTCTCCAATGCCAGAAACACAGCTTAATGGTGTAACGATAGGAAATGTTGACCATTTCTGGTCCCTTGGCAGCCACCTCTCCACCAAAGTCAACATCGACACTGAAATACAACACCGCCTGAGCTCTGCGAGTGCAGCATTCTTCCGAATGAAGCAGAGATTGTTTGAGGACCAGGACATCCGTAGGGATACCAAGGTGCTTGTTGATAAAGCTATTGTCCTCCCAAGCCTGCTATATGCCTGTGAAACGTGGACTGTCTACAGACGTTATACTCAAGTCCTAGAAGGATTCCATCAGTGCTGCCTCCAGAAAATACTGCAAATCTCTTGGGAAGACAGGCGGACAAATGTCAGCACGCTGGAAGAAGCAAACACCACCAGCATTGAAGTGATGGTCCTCCGCCATCAACTCCACTGGACTGGCCACGATGTCCAGATGCCTGATCACTGTCTCCCAAAGTAGTTACTATACTCCCAAATCAAGAACAGGAAACTGAGTGTTGGTGGACAGGAAAAGAGATTTAAAGATGGGCTTAAAGCCAACTGTGCCAGAGACACAGAGAACTGGGAAGCCCTGGCCCTTGAGTGCTCTAACTGGAGGTCAGCTGTGACCATCAGTGCTGTGGAATTTGAAGAGACACGAATAGAGGGCAAAAGAGAGAAATGTACCAAAAGAAAGGTGCATCAAGTCAATCCTGACCGGGACCACCTTCTACCTGAAAACCAAAGTCCTCACTGTGTAAGATCATGTGGGTCAAGAGTAGGGCTCCACAGTCACCTACATATCCACCGCCAAGACACCACACTTGGAAGACCATCATCCTCAGGCTACAAGGGATTTCCTAAGAAAGTAAGTAACTAAGGTTTCAATGCTATGGAATAATGGAAGTGGTCGTTTTACAAGGTCTTTAGGAGTCTCCGGTGGTGCAGCGGGTTAAAATGCTGAGCTGCTGAACATCCTGAATGAAAGGTTGGCGATTCGAATCCACTGGGTGGGGTGAGCTGCTGCTGTTAGCCCCAGCTTCTGTCAACCTAGCAGTTCGAAAACATGCAAATATGAGACCAGTAGGGAGCGCTCTGGCAGGAAGCTAAGGGTGCTCCATGCAGTCATGCTGGCAACATAACCTTGGAGGCGTCTACGGACAATGCCAGCTCTTCAGCTTAGAAATGGAGATGAGCACCAACCCCCAGAGTAGGACACGACTAGACTTAAAGTCAAGGGGAAACCTTTACCTTTAGCCTTATAAGAGTGCGTCTCCAAACTACAACTCCCAAGATTCGTACGCATTGAGTGATGCCAAACTGCATTAATTCTACAGTGTAGATGCAGCACTCCAGTTGGAAGCATCCCTTGACACTCAAAGAGTCTTCCCAAGAAGTATTTTTCAAGGAAACAGTGGGTAATAGTTGATGAAAACTTGGGACGGAAATACATTGGATTTCCTTCCTATACATATACTTGCTGACCAAAAGGTCGGCATACATACATGCATACACATTCTCTCTCTCATATATATATAGATATAGATATGAATGAAAACATGGATTTAAAAGAATGAGAACTGCCCTCAAGAATAGGGCTTTGTACTCAGAGCAAGCTGAAAAGCTGTGTCTCTTTCCTTGTGCAAATCCCACTGTTCGGGTCTCCATTTTACACACACGCACACACACCATGTGCTTTTGAAACCAACACAAAGGAAATATTGTGTTCTTGAAGACAAGAATATCTGTGTGAATGAAATGGAGGGAAGTCCATGGAGACAAAGATAGATCGGGATAAACATATGAAGGATTAGGTTTAAGGTGCTATTTAGACAAAGTTGTTCCAGAAAAGGCAACACAACCCTACACCAGACTAAGGGGACATCTACACTGTAGAATTAATGCAGTTTGGCCCCGCTTTATCTGCCTTGAAATCCTGGGAGTTGTAGTTTGGCAGAGAAGGCTGAAGACCTTGCAAAGCTGCCATAGCATTGAACCATAGCAATTAAGGCAGTGTCAAAACTGACTCAATCCCACATCATTATTATCATTGTTTACATTTTGATCTCCAGCTTTCAATTCTTTGATTGACACAAATTATGGGGGGAAACCCCACACAATTTAAAATCTGCAAAATATAAACAATCCATTCTATTTCAAAACATCATTTTCCAAGGCTGTCTTGCTCTTCAAAAGGATAGTAAATGGGGGTGCCCTTCTAATATTATTTCCCCCCTTCCAAACCTATTCCTCCCATTTGAACATCCTTTCTGTAGACATTTCCTCCCGTGCTCTCCGTTTTTCTGCAGGGATTTCCTCCCAACGTTCTTTCAAATTTGGTGCAAGACAGGAAAATAAAGGAGAAAGCGATACAGAACCAGCTACTCACAAAGTAAGGATTCCACAGCAATTAAATGCATTCATTTTGTAGTGCAGATGCACCCTAAACTGGTTCAAAACCTCCAAAGAAGGAAAATTCATCATTCCCCAAAGCAGTCTATTCTTCAAACTAACAACAACAACAACAACAACAACAACAAATAAATAAATAAATAAATAAATAAATAAATAAATAA